TTGCAAGTATAATCCCTATAGAGCATAGCCAGCATTGGTGCAGCTGGAAGTCAGCTACAAAACATCCATTTACAGACCCCAAATCTACTGAGAGAAAAGGAAATTCTTATTTCAGATAAAAATAGATCTTATAAAGTACAATTATCCTTCTTATTTTTATTTTTTTTTTTAAATCTGCTTTTATGGTTCTGCTTTCTGCTCCTGTCCATCACCTCAATCTCTGAATGCTGCTTATGTTAGGCCGTGAGTGCACTTTGTAGAACCATAGCATCAGATAATTGTTTGAGTTGGAGAAGGCCTTTGAAGGCCATCTGGCCCCACTCTCCTGCAACAAACAGGGACACCCACAGCTCCATCAGTGCTCAGTCCCATCCCTGACCTGGGGTGTCCGCAGGGATGAGGCACAACGGCCCCTCTGGGCACTCTGTGCCACTGCTTCACTGCCCTTACTGTAAACAATATTCCCTTATATCCTGACAAAAGTCTTCTATGGGAACCGGTGAGTCACAGCCTGAAGCACTGATGGAGCACCTGGTGAAAGGACCCAGTCGGCCCTGGGAGCACAGGTGAAGGCAATTCAGCTGTGTGACCAGAAGGGGTGGAGCCTGGCTGCACCTCTCTCAGACCTCATTTAAGGGCTGACTGCCACCCTGGAGATCTCTTCTTGGTGAAACTTTCCTCTGTGAACCTAGAATCTTCTGATATGGGTGAGCAATCTTCCTTTTTAGTACCTCTTTCTCATCCTGGTCCTTCTGTCATTGCACCTTTGTTGTAACGCCTTTCCTATTGTATTGATCTGTTCAATTACTGCAAATCTTAGCATCTTAGTAAAGTTCTTGTGCCAGGGTGATTCAGCTTGCTTCCCTCAAGCGTGGTATTTCTGACAGGAACAAAGCACCATGTTCGGTTTGGATATATACTGTCTGGGATGGGCCAGGAACCTGACAAGCATCGCTCATCCTGCTCCAGCTCCCCGTTTCCAGCAAGAAGCACATTGAGTTTGATTTAAAAATAAAGAGAAGATCTGTGTAAGGGAGGGCCTCACCTCTGTAAATGTGGAGGTACCATCCACGTTGAGAAGGCTGATGGAATCAATCCGAGGTGTGTGTGTCTGCAGGGATGTGGCCAGCAGATGGTGCACGGCTGCACAGCGTTGGGATCTTCTGAAGCTTTGGTTTCTGCATTCTGAAATGTTGCAGCTCTGGGAGGTGCTATCCCAACTTACACACAATCAGGGAGAGATTTTCATTTTATTTTAATTACGGTTTGTAATATAGCACCTGGCTTTTCATTTGAATTCCAGCCCACAATGGAAAGCTGCACTTCCTCTGCTACCAGTGAGGCTGTGGAGCCATATGTTACATTAATCTGAGCAGCAAGCTGCACATGGTGAAATAAAATATGCCCAGACAGAAAATAAGATGGGGGGGGAAAAACCCCTAAGCAAGCAGTGAGACTGCTTACGGAACATCATTCTTTCCACAGTGCCAAACTGAACTTCCAGAAAGATGCATGGAAAAAATGTTCTGCCTTGGATCTACCTGCAGAGCCCTCCACACTGCGCAGATTTTCAGTGCACAAAGGCAGATACTGATATGGTTATGATCTAATCTGCTTTATCTCTATGCTGTGGGGGTAATTACTATTTTCTCTGGTATAATAGATGCATGTGTAACTTGAGGAGTTCAGTGATTTCATCCAGCTGCGCTTTGTCCCAGGTTAAGAGAGAGAAATGAGAGTGAAGGCTGTGAGTATCCTGAAACGGATCTCCATCTCAGCAATTACAAACTCTGCAGCACAGAGGAGAGCACTGCTGCAGAGCTCGTTCTGTGCTCATGTGCTGTGGTTCAGGCTGACAGCAGAAGTTTGCCATGTGGAAGCTTGAACAAAGAGGAGCTCACTGCAGGCTTCACCACGGAGTTTACAGGGCTGTGGCAAGCTCTGATTTATTATTTCCTGCTTTTCCTATATCTGTAAGGATGCCTAATCTGAAGGCTTTCCTCCAACATCTGGCCGCACGCTCAGGCCAAACTTTTTGGCCAGGTTTCCCATGGAGGAGGCTGCAGCGGGGGTTCCCCTCCTGCCAGCCCTGCTGGTTGGGGCTGGTGGAGGCATCCCATCACCGAGGTGGGTTGGGAACCTCGGAAAGAACAAAGGATCTTATGGAATGGGAGCAGTCTGCAGGCTCAGAGGGCCCCAGGCTGGTGACTGTGGGAAGCCAGATTTCCTTTCCCAGGCAGCCAAGTGCCTTGGATGATTTGTTTCCATGCTTCAGTCTGGTTGTGAATGGGGGCAGGGTCACCCTAAATATTCATCTGTACCACCCCTACCAAAAAAAAAAACAGTCTGTCTTCAAATTTTATATTCAGTATTTTCATGTTTGTGAATGGTTTCTTACACTTCCTGCCGTAAGGCATTGGACCAAGAGCCATATTCCTATAGACTGAAATCAATTTTGCTGGTACAAGCACTGCAGGGCTGGGGCAGGTTACTGGTGTTCCTGCATTGAGGTCCCCAGGTGACCCCAGGGACTGGGGCAAGGGCTGCTGAAAGAGCACATTGTCTGCTCACAGTTCACCAATGTTCACAAAATTCAGAGTAATTCTGACAGTACAGGAACCGGGCAGATTTATAGGCCTGATACAGCTCCAGGGTTTGCAAGGCTGTAACTCATGTCACTCAGCAACAAGCAGAGGCTGTGGGGCTTTCTCCCTGCAGGGGACAGTGCTCTGTAATGGAGACTTCCTCCAAAGCCCCCAAATCCCATCTCCTGGGAATCCATTCTTTCCAGGCATTCACGTGGTTATTTTTGGCTGAGTCTGTGGAGATTTCTAGTTTCCCACTGCAGTCATTTTTATAACATGTGGCTGCAAAACCTGTAGAATTAGACATAACTTCATGCATTTGAGTGTCTCAGGTCTGCAACCACGGCCTCTCACACCTGCTCCCTCTTTGGGCTGTGTTTGAAACTCTTTTACCGTGAAAGGACCGAGCTGCACAGGCTCTGGACAACAGCCTCTTTATTGAGCTTGCTGAGCTGCCATAAATATTTAATTAGCTGTTGCTCTATTTCTGGAGAGATACAGAAAAGAAAGCCATTTTCTTGCATTTAAACAGATCCATTCCGGCACCATCCTGCTGGAAGGACTTCCCTGCATTAACTCATGACAGCGAGCCAGATAAGGGAGGGTGCAAAGAAATGCATGCCAGGCTGAAGGGCTGGCAAAGAGGTGCGGTGCAGTCTCCTGCAGATCTTGAGGTGGAAAAGTAGTCTTGAGGGTGGAGATGGAGATAGGATGAGGGGTGATGGCCTCACGCTGTGCCAGGAGAGGTTCAGGCTGGGTATTATGGAAAAATTCTTCTTTGAAAGAGTGGCATTGCACCAGCACAGGCTGCCAAGAGTCACCATCCCTGGGGTGTCCCAGAGCCGTGGGGGATGTGGCACTGAGGGATGCGGGCTGGGGGTCGTTGGGATCCTAGGGGGCTTCTCTAAAACTGACTTCTCTAACTGCCCTGAAAGAGTGGTCAGGCAGTGGAATGGGCTGCCCAGGGAGGCTGTGGAGAACCGACCCTGGAGGTGTTCAAGGAATGTTTGGATGTTGTGTTGAGGGATGTGGTTTAGTGAGAACTACTGGTGATGGGTGATGGTTGGACGGGACGATCTTGTAGGTCTTTTCCTTGGTGTTTCTGTGATTCTCCAACTGCAGTGAATCTGTGATTCTATGACTGAAACCTTTTGAAAATTGGGGTGGATATACAGCCAGGATCCGAGCATGGCTTAAAGTCAGTTATGAAACAAATCCTGCAAAATCTCTTGCTGATAAACTCAGACTGTTTTTGCAGGAGTTTTCCAGCGGAGTCACAGATGTAATTGTGCCTTGGTTTGGGGGGCTCTTCTTGCAGCGTTAAGTCAGCCCGGTGCCTACAGATGTCACTGCCACATGGAGCTCCTCAGTTCTCACATCAAAAGATTCAAACATTTCTGACATCGTGGGATGCAAACTTCATGCATCCAGTTCGTAATTCCGAGAAGGAAACAAAGCTTGTGGGACTGCTATGTTGTATGTGAAAAAAACACTGAGGCCGACCTGCTACTGCAAGGATGTGGAAGAGGAGCGGACGCCGACCCCCGGCGGCGCGGTGCGACGGAGCGCTGAGGAGACGAGACCGCCCCGCCCCGCCCCGCCTCGCAGCGGCCGTTACTCAACTCCGTTCGAACTGCGCCGCGAGGGGTCACGCGCCGCCCGCTGTGATTGGAGGAGACGGAAAGAGGCGGGACTACGCCCAGACCAATCCACCGCCGCGAAGGGGGGGGTTACTTCTGCGCAGTGGTTCGGCCCGCCCGCTTCCCGCCCCTCCCCCTCGCGAGCCCTGGGCCCTTGGCCGCGCCGTTAGCGGCGCCCGCGCGCGCACGGGTAGGACCCCGCGGGCTGCCCGCCGTGCTGCCTGACGGAAGCGGCGGACGGGCGGCGTCGGTGCCGCCGATCGGGCCCGCGCCGTGGCCTCTCTCGACCCGCGCGAGCCGCCGGGAGGCGGGCCGCCGCAGGGCGCCATGGCTCTTCGATCCTGGCGAGCGCCGTCCCCGGCTTCCGCTCCGGCGTTTGAGCGAGGCGGCCGCGGGCGCTTGGGCGCGAGGAGGGCTGCGGGCGCGGGTCCTAACGGCGCGGAAAACGCGCCAAGTTTCCCGTGGCGGAGCGAGCGGCGCCGGGCCGCCCCGTGCGGTCTCCATAGCAACCGGCGGCGGCCCCCGGGCGGAGGCACCATGTAGCGGTGAGGAGAGCGGCGGCGGTCCGCCGGTCCGTGCCGGCCGGGCGTCGGGAGGGCCCGGCCCGGCGGCCTGCGGGGCGGTGGGGCCACGAGGGCGGCGGGGAGGGAGCGGGGCGGCGGGCGGAGGGGTGAGGCGGCAGCCAGGGCCGGGCGAGGCGGCGGTGACGCCGTGTGTGTGCGTATGTGTGTGTGTGTGGCAGGTGGCCGCCCCACGCCGCCCGCCGCCGCCCGCCCGGAGATGCCGGGGGTGCTCCCGAGCGACGGCAGCGCGCCGCCGCGGGGCAGCCCGTCCAGGAAGAACCGGCTATCGCTGAAGCTTTTCCAGAAGAAAGAGGCGAAGAGAGCGCTGGATTTCACCGAGCCGCCGGAGAATGAGCCGAAGGGCGCGGAGCTCCGCGGCGCAGAGATGTACGTAGGGGTGCGGGTGCTGCCCGTTGGGATCCCGCTCTGTGCCTGCTGCCGTTTCCCTCTTTCCCGGCCGAGGTTGCGGTGCCGCGAGCGTTCCGTTGGCACAAAGTTGTGATGCTGGAAGAAAGTTCTCTTCTTTCGATCGTGCCGAGTTAGTTAAAGCGTGTTAAAATGCAACTTGTGGTCTTAGTGAAAGGATATTGGGCGTTCGGGCTGCTCCTGGCGTGGCTGGAAGCGGCAGTCCCTGCTGCCACACAGCGAGCTTCCCGGCCCTGAGCGCCTATCGGCTCTGTTAAGCACAGCCCGGGGGGGAAGTTCCACTGGGGAGAGGAGAAATGGCCTGATTATAGCGAGGTATGGTGGTGAAGGGTTTAAGGCCCGGCTCTGTTGTGTTACCAGAGGGTCGTTGGTTCGGTTGTTCAGCTGTTTATCCTCTTGGTATGTGTCCAGTAATGAAGCAATGTGGATTTGGAGCAATGGGAAATAAGCAGTGGATGCTTTTTCTTGATGCTATCTTGCGAATGAATGAAGAGTGTGCGAAAGTAGTTGAAAGAGATCTTAGATGAGTTGTTCAGTCAGGCTCGTGGGCTGTTTCGTAGGGCAGGCGTTGGAAGTGCATGCAGTAGTAAGTATGTGCTCCTGTAAGCCTGTCAGGTTGCTGGAGGAGCCCCAAGGAGACTCAGAAACACTGTGACACAGTTTTCATCTGGGTATTAATCATTAATTCTGTAAGCTGTCTCCTTATCTTCCGTAACCTACATGGTAGAGGCTAGGAGAGTTGTGTGTGTGTGTGCCAGGCAGATCTCTTATGCTTTGTTTTCTCTGTTTGACAGTGACCAGGTTGTTCCTGCAGCACAGCCTCCCTCACTTGTCAGCTGTGAGAAGAAGGACAACATGTTGCCCTTTGTGGGCTTGAATAATCTTGGCAACACCTGTTACCTTAACAGCATTCTTCAGGTAAGATCACATTCTGGGGCCTCAAAAAATATCACACTGTTCTGCTTTTGTGCAAGTGGATGGGTTTCCTAGTCTGACATTATAGAGGAGATGTCCGGATGTTGTACAAAGGGAATCTAATTACAGCGAGGGGAAGAAAAGTGATACCACAGGAAGTGTGTGCACCATAGATTGCTGTGATTGAGTCATCTGTCAGTTTACATACTCGGGCCACCTCCCTGCCATGAGTAATCCCATGCACTGTGCAGCAGCAGCCTTGGGAGATGCAGAGCTGGCTGGGTCCTAAGCATGGAGATGTAACGTTGAATAACTGGGTTTACCAATTGTTGTCTTGTTTTCCACTGTTGCTTCTAGGTATTATATTTTTGTCCTGGTTTTAAAACGGGAGTCAAACATTTATATAATATCATTTCAAAGAAGAAAGAATCGTTGAAGGATGAAGGAGAGCTAAAAGCAGAAAAGGTAACACATCTCAGTACACCTCCATTTCCATGTAACAGTGCAGGTGAGGCTGTGTGCCAGGAAGGTTCTCAAAATTGAACTGTTTTCTTCTGCTCTTAAAAAGTTGGGCAGTGTTGTTTTCTGTACTATTTCAGGTAAAAAAAAGGTTTGAGTAGTTTTAAACTTGCGTTCAAAGCATCTGTAAACCTGTAAGCACAAGGCTGAACTGGTTTAATTTCTGTTCAAATTACCATACCTGATGTCTGCGGGCAAAGATAGCTTGGGCTTTTAAAGTTCATACTGTGGCTTTCATGTTTCTTTTCTGCTGTCGAAAGAGCAGTGTATTGATCTAAACTCACCTGTTTCCCATTGTGGGGAAAAAAGAAATCTGTCAAGTGTTTGTTGGATAACCAAGTGGGGGCTACTTGCCATAACTGCTTGTTACACACAAAGCTGCACGTGTCTTCATTCTCATTGCAGGGAAATTGTAAAGAAGATCCACTGGCAAGTTATGAACTGATCTGCAGTTTGCACTCGTTGATTCTTTCTGTTGAACAGCTTCAAGCCAGCTTTCTTTTAAACCCAGAGAAATACACTGATGAACTTGCTACTCAGCCACGAAGGCTGCTGAACACCCTTAGGTACAAATTATCTCAAACAAACACCAAATCTTCACCTAAAGTTTTGGCATCATTATAACAGTACAGTATGGCAGGAGAGAACTGGGTGGGAAGGGAGAAGATAATTGTAGATTTGGGGCATTGTTATGTGATTACACAAAGGAAGTTGTACATTTCAGAGGGGGAGGTTTGTGTTTATTGCTGCCTCTGTGATATCATAAGTTTGGAAGTAAGTTTAGATTTTGTAAGAATAGAATTGAAACCCAGCAGTAGATTTTAAGCAGTACTTCCTCTGAAGTATTTAAGCATTCTCATTGACTTGAGAAGTACCACTGCTGGGTTGCAACTGAATGCATGTTTATATGCCCTTCTGTGTAAGGCTGTAACTGCCTCCCCATGGGTATTTGTGCCAGAAAGGGCTTCTCTTTAGGCGCAGAGAGGATTCCCCCCCTGCTTTTATAGCAAAGGTTTCCTAATTTAAGTCTCTGGCCACGTTTTCTAGTAAAGATCAGCTCATCTTTGGTACTTATTTACCTTTAATAGAGAGCTCAACCCTATGTACGAAGGCTACTTGCAGCACGATGCCCAGGAAGTTCTGCAGTGCATCCTTGGTAATATTCAAGAAACGTGTCAGCTACTGAAGAAGGAAGAACTGAATAAACTGCCCTTGGAAGAGCCCAAAGCTAAAGTGGAGGAAAAAATCAATCAAAATTCCGAGAGCAATGGAACTGGCCACTCTGCTGAGGAGGAGGAGAACACAGCAAGTAGCCACGGGGGAGAGGTGGCTGAAGATAAGCTGCCCAAAGGAAATGGGAAGAGAAAAAGCGATGCTGAAGGTGGCAATGCAAAGAAAAAGTCCAAAGTATCGAAAGAACAAATTGCAGCAGAAGAAAATCAAAGACAAACCAGGTCAAAGAGGAAAGCAACGGGGGAAAAGCTAGAGAATCAAAGTGATGCCACTGCCAAGTGTTCCACTGAGAACGAGAGCGCAAAGCCAACACAGAAGAAGTCACGACTTAAATTAAACTGGTTAAAATCCTCGTGCAAACAGCCAAGTATTCTGTCCAAATTTTATAGTCTGGGGAAGTTAACTACAAATTTGGGATCCAAAGACCCGGTGAAAGAGTACGATGACTGTGAGCTTGAAGAGTCATCTGCCAAGTGTGAAAATGGTAACGATGTTAAAGAAGGTGGTCACGAACCAACATCTCCTGTGGAAAGCCATAGTGAAAAAGGAACTGAAAAAGAACCAAAAAAGGAAGGTTGGTGAACAAGTGAACGGGCTTAAAATTAGCATGGTTAGGAAATTACTGTGCACTGGAAGTCAACCTTCAGATTGCATTGCAGGCAGAGCTCTCTAAGCATGGAGTTACATTTTCAGGAATTGAAAAATATTTTTATGAATTTATTTTTGCATGTTTGTAACTTTCATTTTATACCTTGACTTGTTTAGCTTAGATTATAAAAGGTCTTTTTCTAACATCGTGTAATCGCTGTTCAAGGTAAAAAATGTTACCAGGTTTATATTCTCACTAATATTCTTACTAATGATTGTCATCTCTAGAAATAGGAAGGGAATTAAAAACGCAAAAGAATGTTATTTAAAGGAGAAAACAAAATGAAATCCTACAGGCTACGGATTTGTGTCCTTACAAGCAGTATTCTGTCTGTAGCTCCCTATTGTAGGATGTAGGCAAAGTGGCTGACAGGTATGGATTTTGTTAGTGTCAACAGGAGAACACAACTCTTGAGGGAAGGGGTGCAGTAGGGCTTTAAGGCTCCTTCCAGCACAGCTGTCCTGTGATTCTATGATGATTCTATGCTGATTCTCTGATACTCCGAAAAACACACGTGATGAGCAGCTTTTTGGAAGCCCTAAGGCACTGTGTCTGTAACACTTGATTTGCCATGAAGAATAGCCAGGTTTTTAGTATCTTTTGAATAAAACACATGTTGGTAAGTGATCTGGCATATACTTTCTCTAGGTACAGAGTTGGCTGTTTTTGAACTAGTGGAGAAATTGTTCCAGGGCCAGTTAGTACTGAGAACACGATGCTTGGAGTGCGAGTGCTTTACTGAGAGAAGAGAGGACTTTCAGGACATCAGTGTTCCGGTGCAAGAAGATGAACTTTCTAAAAGTGAAGAAAGTTCTGAAAGTAAGTATCAAAAAGGGGGATTGGTGTTTCTGCTTCAGATGGCTGTAGAGGGAGGACAGTGCCGTGTTTATCAAGGAACACTGCTCTTGTTTGTGCTGGTTAACACTAGAGGTTGTTCTGTTATCTCTTGTCCTGATTAACTTCTGACTTTGCAAACACAGCACTGATAACATAGGTGGATCCAGACTGTATTAAAGTTGCCTCAGGTCTCCAAAGGCAACAGGCAGCTTATAGTCCTTACTCATGTATGTGTTTTCCTGCTTATAATCAGGCATTTACTTTTTATTGGGTCTGCCCTTCCCTGATAAAAGATTATTTTAAACTGAAGGATAAGTGGAAGAAATATTTGCATTTTTCTTAAAAATAAATGAAATTTACTTCAGGAATTGATATTTTTCATTACTTCTGGACTGTCGTAGCCTTAACACTGTGGGAAATGTCCCCTGGTGTGTTCCACAGCTGGTAGTGATCCATACTTAGTTTTAAGATAAGCAGTAAGTGCAGCTGCAGTTACATTGTGATGTTCTGAATTCTAAATAAATCACCTTTAGTCCTCGTGGACTTGATTCGGAGCAGCTCCCACTCCTTTTGCCTTCCCCACTGACCTCATTAATGGGGAGGCTGTCAGGGGGGTGAGATGCAAGAAATGGAAGGGAGCTGCCTGATTATTTTGGAAGCTTCCTGTAGGGAATAAAATCTTGGTCTCAAACACATGTGCCTTATTTCTAGACGTGGCAGTGGGATCAGTACACACATCTTGAAGACAAGATTTGGGAAGCCTGTATGTTATAAGTAAGCGTATGCATTAAGTGGTGCCTGCATCCTTTCCTGAAATGACTGGGAGAGCTGAATGCACTTTGTTTCACACGTACTGGGGATTCTTTACGGTGTTGTTAGCAGTTATGGAACGCAGCAGAACTTGATGCCATCTTGTTTTGGTTTTATTTTGGTGGGATTCCTTGGAAATGTAAGTAATAGCGTATCTGTGAATGTAATGATTCTCTTTCAGTTTCTCCAGAGCCAAAAACAGAAATGAAGACTCTGAAGTGGGCAATTTCACAGTTTGCATCCGTGGAAAGGATTGTGGGAGAGGACAAATACTTCTGCGAGAACTGCCATCATTACACAGAAGCAGAGCGCAGCCTTTTATTTGATAAAATGCCTGAAGTTATAACAATTCATTTGAAGTGCTTTGCTGCTAGTGGCTTAGAGTGAGTATGCCAATACACTCTATTACTAAACTGCTGTGGGAAGAGAAATCATGTACTGGAAGTGTATGGGACCTTTGGCACTTGACACATAGCAAATAGGAGTTCAGTGATTAGCCGCAGGGCACTTTAGAACAAGCTCTACTGAGGACAACATCAACATGGTTTGTGAAATAGCTTAATATAATCCTTGAAAATAGTTAATTTTTACAGGTGGTTTGTTATGATTTGTTGAAAGTGGAATTAGTAGCGGTTGTTAGGAGTATCTTTCTGACAAGGCAGAAGGAAAACTTAATCTCTATAAGGGCTCCTTCCCTTTCTTCTCACAATTTCAGGATTGTAACATAGAACATAGGTGGTTTAGTGTAGTAACACTCACAACAAGCAGAGCAGAACAAGCCAACTACGTTGTGCACCTGTCAGAAGGTGTCACGTTGCTACTGAGTAGCTTTGATGCCAGATGGAGTGGCTGTGTGATGAGGTTATTCAAAAAATACAACTCGAGATGCTCACAGAGAAAACCTGGCTGTTCTCTTCACTTTGTTCCTACATCTGCTGCTGTGCTTCTATGAGAAGTACCTGGAGCTTGCAGGTTCCCTAGCAGCATGCTGAGTTGCTTACCTCTCCTGTCCTGGCAGCCTTCAAATCCTTGCTTCAGAAGTCCAAAACCTGTATGCAGTCTCTTGTGGTCTTCTTCCTGTGCCCTTTACTCATGTCCTGCATTTCCAGCCAAGTGCTGGCAGCCAGAGGTTAAGGAAATCAGAGTGGACAATCAGACACAGTCCTGGAGACAGTGATGAAGCTGAAACTGTAGAAGATTGCTTCTTGGTTTTTGGCTTGGACATTTTACTCTGGACAAAACAGTGGCATGTCTGAACATCTTGATTTGGAGTAATAAAGCACCGCTGCAAATCAGGTGGGGAAGAGCCAAGGATAGTAAATAAAAACACTGTAGCACATGAAGTTACTGCTGTTACAGTGTGTTTGGAATTGAAAGCTTTGATGGAGCTTTCCCAAGTTTGCTTAGGTAAACTGGTAATGTTTATTGTAACAATACTGATTTCCCCAGATGAGACTGCAGTAGTCTGTCCTACAAGCAGTAACAAACTCTTCTTGCCTTAAACTAACATTCTTCAACTGAGAATGTTCACATAACTGTTCTCTGTTGGAAACCTCCTCGGTTGTGATCTACAGAGTTTCAGGACAATTGAGTTTTAAATAAGAAATGAAACAGAAAGCGCTGATAAGTAAATGTTTGCTGTTGGCAGGGCTTTGCTCCCTTATTAGAGGGTGGTTTGCAAAGTGATTCTTTAACAATAAAGCAGCCACTGTGAAAATGTGCTAGCCTGGGGCTGAGTAATTGTTTGGGCAGGGCGGGGAGGGAAAACACTGGGACTGGCTGCAAACAGACCTGAGCTCACAAGAGAGCCATGAAGTGAGAGGTAGCAGGCTGTGTAAGGTGGTTCACTGATCGGTTTCTCTCTTTTAATAACGTCTGACCCTAAAGTTTTCTAGTTGCACTTGCTAATTAGCAAGAGCAATGCTGATACCATTACGAATCTGTATTTGGGTTGTCCAGTGTCTTGTGGATTAGATAGCTGCAATAAGATTGATTTACGCCTTCAAGGTCTGGGATAATGTGATTCAACACAGTAAGAGAAATTCCACTGATTCATGGCTCCAAAAGGCGGAGTTGCAAAGTTGCTTTTGTTGTGTTTGAGCCAGAGGAGGCAGGGCACTTGGCACGCCATTCTTGTCTTCAGATTGTTATTAAGAAGATCAAAAGCTAACGTGAAAAGATAATGTGAGAAGATCTCTCTTATTTGCTCCTCTTCAAATTTTTCTGATGCTGGGTCTTGTCCAGAAGAGAGGTAAAGCCTGCTTGCTCATGCTTTAGGGTAATGTAGTTGTCCTGTGAGCTCCACTGGACCTGGATTTCTGATCCTGGAGCATCTGTAAGCGATTCCTGTTCCTTGACTCCTCTGAGTACCTCTTCCTGCCTTTCAGAAGACTTACACTGTATTAATTCTGATGATACACCCTCCTGTTTCTTTCGGTGCAGTGAAATGTTCATGGTGAGCCTGCACCTAAGGTGAGGAGGGATTGGAATTGATCAGACTTGAGTGACTGAGCACATCTGTGCACGTCTACGTGCATTTGTGTGCACAAGGGTTTATGGTGGTGAACATCAGCAAAACTGTTAAAAGCATGGCAGAATCAAGATCAAAACCCTGTAAAACAAAAAGTAATATCCTGTGACTTCAGTAATGTCCTGTGTTTTCCTGGGATTAAAAGTAGCAACCGTGCCTGCTGTAGGGGGCCTGCTTTGCAAGGGGGCTGGACTCGCTGATCTCTGGAGATCCCAGCCCCTACAACTCTGTGATCATCTTTTCTCACAGTAAAGCGTAGGTTGGACAATTGTAATTAGCTCTTTGCAAGCTCAGGTTTGGTTTGTCTGCATTCTGCACTCTTTTTCCCTATAAAATCTTTACAGCTGAGAAAGACTGAATCTGCTGGGACCTGGGACTGAATCTACTGGGACACCATCATTAAATGAAGAGGTTAATTATGTTGGGCTGATGCAGTACATCAATCACATAAGCTCAGGTTATATGCAGTAATGCAAAAGAGGTGATGAAGTTCCAACACCTCCGAATTCTTCAAAAGTTCTTTATTACAATGAAAGGACTTGAAACTTTTCTCCTTGTGTATTTGTGAACTATGAACAAATGCTCAATAGCTGTGGAATACAAGATGCTTCACCCAACTAAATCAGGTAGAATTGTTTAAAGAAACTGATTAAAGTAAGGCAGTTAATGAGAGGTTCCTGGCAATAAGTTACTAACTTAATAATCCCTAGAAAACTGTCACTTGTATTTACTATAGTAAAAACAGTCTTTGAGTGACAGCTAAGCTACTTGAATAACAAAATGTATTGTTTTATTGCTATCTTTTTCTATAAATGTGGGAGGAAGCAAAGCAACTTGCTCGCTCTGTCCCTTGGATGTTGGAATGAATGTTCTCTGATCAGCAGGTCAATGTCTGCAAGGAAATGCAATCCCAGAATCATGAATGATAACCGTGCAATGAAGAGCTCACTTCTCACTACTGGATGCTTATTGTAGCTGGTAGTTTTCACAAAGAGAGTCTCTTATGTAGTGAAAACACACAGCTATGGAGCTGTCATGTTTAACAATATCCTTACTTGTCAAAATGCCTTCAGTGAACAGGGCTGCCTGGGACAGATGCTTGCGATAAACAAGTAGAAATGTGAGCAGCTTCTCACTGCAGTTCTGCTGTGTGTCTCTGGTGTGAGAAAGCAGACTCGATGCCTGGGGCACTGAAAGCTGTACGTGCTGTGCTGGAAGCAGCAAGGGCTCTAACTTTGTTTTTCTTCTGAAGGTTTGACTGCTACGGTGGACTGTCGAAGATAAACACTCCCTTACTGACGCCGCTCAAACTGTCGCTGGAAGAATGGAGCACGAAGCCAACCAATGACACCTATGGCTTATTTGCAGTGGTGATGCACAGTGGCATTACAATTAGCAGTGGACACTACACAGCTTCTGTCAAAATCACAGATCTCAACAGCCTCGAGTTAGACAAGGGAAACTTCATCACCGCCCAAACGTGCGAAACGATTAAACCAGAGCCACTGAATGAGGAGGAAGCAAGAACTGTTGCTGAAGACTACGACAACGGTGAAGTCTCTTTTAGAGTCAATGGCAATGCGCAGCCAGGTAAAGTTCTGAACAAAAAGAACATGGAAGCTGTCGGACTTCTTGGGGGACAGAAGAGCAAGTCTGACTGTGACCTGTACAACAGACCAGCAAACAGCGAGAAGGTTCTCAATGTAGTTACTGAGAACAGAAATCCCGAGTCCGCCCCTGCTAACGGAAGTGTGGAGTGCAGCACTGAGCACGGCCATCAGAACGGGGTTGCTTTCAGTGGACTGGAAAACAAAGCTTTGTATGTCCTGCAGAGCCTGAAAGAGTACGAGGGGAAATGGTTGCTTTTCGATGATTCTGAAGTGAAAGTTACAGAGGAAAAGGACTTCCTGAATTCTCTTTCTCCCACGTCAGCGTCTACATCAACTCCTTACCTACTGTTTTATAAGAAAATTGTAGAGTGATACTGTATTTTGACTGTAAATATTAAGGACTCGCATACACCTGGTGTCTGGTTTGCATCAGAACTACTTGGAAGAAACAGATGTTTGTCTTTGAAGCTACTGGATCCTACATTTCTGCTCTTTGCATTGTGTAAGTGGCTCAACTTGAATTCATAAACCATGACGTAGAACTTAACTCACCTAGTAACTTTTATGCTGGAGAATAGTGATATTACCTTTTAGAAATACCAGTTTGTATAGCTCCTAAAGGATGCCTACAATACACAGTAGTGGGGTTTTAACACAGCTCTAGTTCTCAGACATGCCTTCTTGTATTATTAGCTTTTTTTTAATAAAAGTTATTTGTATTCATATTCTGGACTAAATGTATATTAACTAGCAAGTTTCATCAGAAGTTGTGTATTTTTGTAACTTGGGAAGTAATACTTCATATATAGTTCTTGAGTTATCTATGTGGTTTACTGACAAAATGCTCCTTAGCCAATTCTAATACTGCTCTGTGCATCTCCAAGCACAAGAAAAGAGTGTTCACGTTAAAAAAAGAGAACTGAACTTAACAGGAATGTTTGAATGGTCTAATTTGCATCTTGTTGCATTGATGTTAAATGGGCAAAGTGTGTAAATAGGTGTGATTAATAATACTTCCAAACAGAGAGTGTGTAGTGTAATTAAAATACTTTTGTACTTCCTAAGAAGAAAGCCCTTTAATATGCATATCTGTTTGGGTGGATTTGGAGTTTAGTGGTGAACATATAACAGTTAATTTGTACTTAAAGCTCACTGGAAGGTGGGAAAGTGAAAACATTTGGCTTGATGCTTTGTTGAGAATGTATATATGAAATAAAAGAAGAACAATATGGTCTGCATTGGAGATGATTAGATCAGACTTCTGTGTTGGGACAGGAAAGAGGGGACGTGGTTGGGCATCATTACCAAAAAAGGCTGGGAAAGTATCTGTCTGAATGAAAGAGATGATGAGGGAGTGCTTTAGAAAAGAGCATGCCCTGCTGTTATCTGGTTCTTGTATAGCATGCCCTGCTGGGAAGGGACCTGATGACTAGAAGTAAGGCTTGGAGGCAAGGGGAAGAGAAGTAAGTTTACTGTGAAAAGAAATGGCATGTCTGACACAAGGTAGTAGAGATGAAACAATCCCAGGTCACATATTGCATGCTACAAGGTTAAGCAGTATCCTGTAAGTTGCAGAGAACTAAAAACTGTATGGCATGCAGTGTGCTGGTGTCACTGCTGCACTGTATGGAATGGCATGAAGTGCTGCTGCAGGGACAGACAAGGGAGATGCACAACGTGTGAGTATGCCCTGGTTTTTAGGGTATGTTTAAGCTTTTTCAAATACAAGATAACTAACTTACAAGGAAAGCCCTAGAACCCTGCACCTAGTTTATTCTCCAGTGCCTTGTTCTTTGACAATCTTTTATTACACTGTAACATAAACACTGAGAGAACTCATGAAAGTCACATTGGTGCATCTGTTCTGATAGACCTCTGCTTTTTGTACAGGTTTGATTTAGAGTTATGCAGCAAGGAAACTTGTGCTTCCAACAGAAAGCTGCAGTAAGGGCTGGACTCAACTCCTGCTGAACAGCTGTCTGGTAATTACTGCAGAGATGAATTACAAATGCCATGAGACTCTGTAACCATACCAAATAATTTCATTGTCTAAAATGAGTATCCACATTAAAGAGAATAGCAAAATAGAACTGAAAGCTTACCTTGCCTGCTATAAATTGTTCCTGACTGCAATGGGGGGCTTGCTGAATTTCAGCCTGAAAATAAAAGTTATGTTGTTCCTACAGTTGGGTGAGGAAAAGGCATAAAGACATACATAGAACATGGTCTTTTGTTGTTGCTGGGATTTATTCAAAGGAAGCACTTACTTTCTGCCTTCCTGAAGAGCTAACTTGCCCCAGTGGCTGCTGTCCTACATTTAATGTGGCCCCAAAGACATCCAGCAACCCCTTGGGACTGTGCACAGCAGAAGCCAACAGAAAACCCATGTCAGGCTCCAAACTCCTACAACTACGAAATGGTGACTGTATAATTGTGTTTGCAACTTTAAGGGCTCCTGTCTGAAAGTTACATATATTTTTTTTCTTGTTATTCTCACCAACATAGCAGTATGTTTTTATTTTTCACCTACGCATGCATATTTCTGTGTGGCTGTTTAGGTGTTTATGTAGAGCGAGCGAGCTGCAGTTAACCACTGCCCTGCCTCCCAAGGGACCTGCTTCAATGCAGAGAGCAAAAAAGACACCCAGACTGAGTGGCTGTAGGGTTGGTTCCAACTTGGAGATCAATTTCCTTGAAGTTCTGTGTGAGCCACCAACATCACTGCCTTACAACAGATCCTTTCATCACACAATTAACAACGTGACGACTGCTGCCCATGTACGCTCGTGACTCACTTCATCTACTTTATCATTTTGTTCTTGTCTTGAAATTAGTTTTTAAACTGAAAAAGGGCCAGAAGAAGCAGCCTAACTGCAAGTGGCTGAGTTGAACTGCACAGACACTACACTGGGTTACTGTAGTTGGACTTCTAGTTGGTGTGTGTGCAGTGATGGTGCTGGAACTCTCCTTCACCGCTACCAAGAGAGGTGCAGCACCAGCAAGGTGTGCCTTGATTCTGCTGCTGGTGACAGCTGGAATTATTTCCCTTAGCAGCAATTTGTATTCAGTTACAAAGAAGAAAGGGCAGGAACAGTACAACAATCACAGCTTGGATAAGAAGTGTTAGTAAAGACTTACCTCGTTCTGAAAAGCTTCCCCAAGGATGGTGAGCTCTGAAGTCCAATTCAGCACAGGGAATTAAAGTGTAAACATTCACATATTTAATAGTACCATCAAAATAACCATCATCACTACATTAAAAACTTCAAAAATGCATTTGTGTATGGTCCTAATATAAATTAAATATATGAACTAAAAGTAAATAAATTTAACATTAGAGAATGCTATTATAAATAAAGGTAAATGCGTTAAGTGTACCTTTGAGTCATAAAAATGCCTTAAAAAACAGGTAACTTTACAGCTTATCACCAATACTCTGGATACCACTTGGATTTTTTTCTCAAACATGGATAAAGTAAGTCTACATTTGACAATTCAGAATGATTTGTTTTGGCCACTGAACACTCTGATGGAGGAGGAGGTGTGTGGGAAGTCCAGGATGAAGTCCAAGTTTTATTTCACAATAAAACTTCTTTGATTCCCAGCGCTGATAACAAGGCTCTTTCTTTTCAAAACCTTACTTTTAAGTGCTTTTTTATTTTGGTTTTTAACTCGTTTAGATATCCATTTTGCGAAGGCTCATCCTGCTGAAGGAGTCTCTGAGGGAGAGAAAACACAACGATGAGCTTGTGTTTTTCAGGGTCAGATAAGAAGCCTCTTCAGATGAGAGATACATAATTATTTCCAGTGTTTTCTACAGGAGAAGCAGCACAAACCCCCTGCACTCCTTAAAGATTTGCTTGGAATATCCCTATCACACTCTTTCCAAATTTCTCTTTTTGCAATGCTTCTTTCTCTTCCCCGTTGCTCTTTTCCTCTGACCAACACTTCCATGACAAACTCAGAACCAGGGCCGTGTTCTCCTAAGCCAACTGAGGAACAAAAGGGACCATAGCAAACACCACCTACCAGAACTGCCCGGAAAGGGACGTGCTCTGAGCTCAGGAAAGAAGGGGAGAAGGGACGGACTCAGCCAGAAGCCCCACATTAAGAACAGGTTTCACAAGAAGGTCAGACACCCCCTCTTTCCACCCTCCTTATCTCTGCAGAAAAAGTAAAAGCAAATATCCACCTGTGGCATGTGACTGGCAACACGGCCTTATACAACTGCGGGATCTTCCTGTTTATCAGTGGCTGCAGGGCCTCCTTTAAGCGGTGGTAATTCCGCTCGAGCTCCCGCTGGTATTCCTTTTGGTCCGGGCCGATCAAGCTCTTGTTCTTGCGCAGAGCATCCTCACATCTGGAAAACAAAAGCCTGTGAAACTTGGGCACGTAAAAAAAGGACAGATTTGTTAATTTAATAACACAACAGCTTTCGTTCTCTACTTCTGGGATGACGCACAGTATCCTTTTCTATCTTGTCTTTCGGGTAATAAAGACTCAGCTAAAGCAGCTGACCTCCGTGGGGAAAGGAGAGGGTGTCACGTTTCCAGTTTCCATTTCCAGAGTGGAAACTCAGTTTTTATTTCTGTTTCATTCTCCAATTACATTTATCTTTGCTGAAGAGAAATGAAAAGCCCATCTCCACACAGTGCTTCCAGTCCAAGATTTAAAGACCTACTGTGAAGACAGACCTGCAAGATGTTCACTGGGAAATTCTACTGGGAAAAATGTGATTTAAACAAAGGGCATGAAGAGAACTCTAACATCACCACCACCTAGTATATATGGAAAAACTACATTGCCACTGATCTGTCTGCACTGAACATTTCAATACGTATTCTTTTAATTCTTCACTGCTTACAAAAGACACTGGCTTAAGACTGCAGTTTGCATTACTCAAGAGGAAAGTACAGAGGCCAGAATAATTCCTTGAGAGAATTCTGCCAACGTACTTCCATGTGGCTTGGACAAATTCACATCAGAACGAAATCAGACCTCCTGGCCCTGCCAACCTGTGAGTTCATTTGTGCCAGTGTGGCTAGCTGTGTTCTGAAATGGGAACACTTGGTCACGACTGAGCTGTGATCACTAATTCCTTCCCAATATTCAGCAAAGCCAAATGACTTCAGCACTTGACCTGATGGAAGTCACGGACCAGCAGCACCAGAGAAACAGGGAGAATACAGCTGCGTATGGAAACCAGGCAGATGGTTACAACACAAGCACTCCTCTCCCACACAGCCCCTGTGTTAGTGCTCCTGCCTGGCGCAGCAGTACTACAGGCACCTGGCAGCTGGAAGACAACACTCCATACCTTTTCGTGAAGTCTTTGAAACAGAGCCGTAGTTTGTTATGATGCCTGAAGAGCTTTGGGTCGTTGGGTATTTCTGATAAGAAAACTTGTGCAACTTCTAATGGTCCCTTTAGGAGCAGAGAGAAAAAGTAAGTTTCTCAGCACTGTCACATCCACTCACTGCAGAAACTTCTTGCACATAGAAACATTTGTAAAACGCAGCATTATTTCCTCACAGCATGCATCTTAAAGAACTGCAGCTGGTAGATCTGGCATAAATCACCAGACATCATGACTGCTGTGTGGCTTTTAGGCATTTGTAAAAATAAAACTCTGCTTTTGGAAAACAGGGTGAGAATGTGTGCAGATTCTGCATTTGTTTTCCCTTACAATGAATCCTGACAAACTCTGCAGAACTGACAACTAAGTTTAAACAATGCAGATGGAACCAAGTCCTTGCCAGCACTGTGAACTCGGCCCAGAACTCGAAACTCCAGCCTTGTTTTTCCCAGCTTGTTCCTTAGTGGAGGTTTACTCATATTCGCTCACTTTTTCCTCCATGTTTCTCCACTCTTAGCTTCACTTTCCACTTTGTTCAAAAACCACAGCAGGACACAATCCCAGTGCCAAACACCAATCCAGCTAACTGAAGGTGAAGCAATAAAATCTCATGTTTTTTTTTAAACAGGGGGAGGAGAAGCAGTCAGAAGTGACTGCAGATGCCAGGAAGGGACAGATAATGAGGGAGAAGGGCTATCTCTATCTACTCAGCCACTTCCCAGATCTAACCATGTTTTCAGGACTCTTAGTCAAATTGCGAAGTTACCCAGAGCTGGTCTAAACCCATCAGTGATCTTGAACACATTCCATAGACTGAATGGTAAAAAAAACCCCACAGTAATTTGGAAATAAGGCCCAGTGCCTGAGCAGAGCAATACACAACCCCACTTGTCTCCAATTCAGAAAATGGTTCTCACCTGATTCACTGTGGTACCTACTGATCCCTGCAGCACCATCTGCAGCATCTTTGGGTCTGCAGGGTCTTGGTGAGTTGCAAAAGCTAATTCTTGTGTTTTCTTCTGCATGTCCTCTATGGCAACTTCAATGGGTGTCAAAATGATCTAAGCAAGCAGCCAGAACACAGGACACTTGTTACAGTGGAGACAAGTGGCAGAGGACACCAACAGGACAGATATTGTGTGGCAGTACGAAGGGATGACAAGCATTGGAACTTGCTGCCCAGGGTGTGAGGTGGTCACTGTCCCTGGAGGTGTTCCAGAGCTGTGGGGTCGTGGCACTGAGGGACACAGTCAGTGGGCTGGGATTGGGCTGGATGATCTTAAAGACCTTTCCCAACTGGTTCTACAATTCTATCCATGACTCCGTGCGGCCCTGGGGTTTAACCAAATGATGTACCAAGGTACATCATGCAAGAGTTTCAGCAACATCTACTTCCCTTATTGTGTAATATTTCAAAGGAGAGCTGTGGGGATGTCTGCTGGGCAAAGTGCAGGCCTCACCTCCTCTTTGTGAATGACGTTTATCCTGGTTTTGATGTAAGGGAAAGCGTGGGACGTTGTCAGGATGGTTTTACGCTTGAACTGCTCGTGCAGCTCCCCGTGAGCTCGGCCATCCAGGGTGAAGGGCGTGCAGTACATGAAGCGCCGCAAGTTGTAGTTCTTGTCAAAGTAAGTTATCCTGTCCTTCATCTCATACGTGTCAAAGTAAGGCTCCACATAGGTAATCTGGATGTATGCCTGCAGGAAGGAATCCAGGTAAGCGCAGAGATGAGACGACCTCTACTCCCTGCGCTGCCATAGCCTGGTGTAACTCCTCTGCACAACTATCACAGAATCCACAACTAGGATTGCTCCTTGCCTTTACTCAGAAACGTCACACTGATGTTGCTGGAGTGCCTGGTGAGTGCTCAGCACCTTCTGGACTAGATACAGCACTCTGCCCCTCTCCTCTGAAGCTCTTCACGTGAAGTGTTTCCTCCCTTCCTCTGCAGATAATACCTTCTTCTAAACTGGAGTCTTAATTTCCTAGCCAAGCTCCCATTATTTCTGTTACGCCTAAAGGAGCTTAAAAGACATAGGACAAGAATGATAAAATGTTACAGCTGTAAAAAAAAACAAAAAACAAACAAACAAAAAAAACCTACAAGGCCAGTGAATGGAAAACTCCCTTCCTTCCTTGCATTTCATAGAGATTACAGAGACAGGCAAATGCAGCCCGAGACTGCAGTGTCTCTTTGTCTCTTGACCTTCCCTTCTGCCAAGCCCACAGGACACATCACAGGGCAGGAAGGAAACAGCTCATTCTGCACTCCTTTGCTGGGAAGATTTTCCCCACCTCTCTTCTCTGAGACGTTCTCTAGCTCTCTTCATGGAAACATCACCTACTTGGCGAAATCCAGGGCAAGGATTTGGCCCACCATGTTCATGTACATTCGGGACCAGTTCTACTGCTGACTCTGTACTCGTGTTCTTACCTTGTTGGGATCTAGTTTACATTTGTCCACAGGATTTGAGTCCTTGATCACTTCAAGCACATCTTCACCAAACCGTTCTCCATAAAATCCCTACAATCAAGAGCAAATGCACTGAGATACAGCATCATAGGCATCCATCAAAGGTGGGGGTTGGAGAGACAAAGGGGGAGGTGAAGCTTCAAATGCCTTCAAGCGCATCTGCACCAGGGCTGAATGTGATCTGCTGAACCTAGGAGAATTCAATCAATCGCATTCCGGGGCCAACAGGAAACAAATGAGCCTAACACCCGGAAAGCCAAGAGAACTCGGGAGCCTTCCAACTGCACACACGTGCTGCAGGGCTTTGAACAGACCTCTGAGCTCACTGTGTGTCTGTGAGCTCAACTGAAAGCTGGGGTCAATGCAGGATCTGCTTGGAAATCAGGTGCCGCGTCAGAGCGCAGCTCTGCTGGGCCGGATGAATGGGTCTGAACTCAGCTCCGTGCGCCCAGACCTCAGATAACACTGCTGCTTTCAGTGCCATGTGACAGCAACTGAAGCGTGAGCAACAACAGGAGAGCAGATCTATTCCAGCAATTAAACAGGGCCAGGTCTGAGGAACGAACTGGTGCTTACATTGGCACCCAAAGCCAAGGTAGATTTATGAGAGTTGCCTTCGCTTGCTCACAGCTGAAACAAACTTCAGACACCTGAGAAGCCCACTCTGGGGGCTCTGAAACTCAGCTTCTGTTAAGGGCACTGTCTCTAGGAGAAGAGGAACATATGCAAAGGTGAGAACGTGAGAATAAAAAGCAATGCTTTCCAACAGCTGGATTCTGAAAGCATCTCAGCCTTTTTTCAAGCCTAAGTCATCCCACTGCACCAGGCAGCTGATGAGAAATGCAAACACTGTGAAAAGCCACAGATCTTCAAGTGATCATAGCAGGTCTGCAGCACTCATGATTTGTGAATGACAGATGGAAAACAGATAAACTGCAGTTCACAGAGAGATCATCTCACCTCGAGCCTATGGGAAATCTCAGCTAACTTCGTTATCGCAGGCTCCTTGTAAACAAACTCTTGCTCATCCAGGTCTCCAAACTTGGTTCCATAGAAACCGACCCTGAAGTAGGTGCCAAACATCCTCTTTCCATCCTAGGTTTGGACAAACAAAAGGTTGTTTCAGTGTGGGGACAAGCACAACCCAAGTGTGGCTGCAGGAGGGCTCCTGACGTTATGCAAACTCAAAAAAGAAATCAAAAATGAACCAAGAAAAAAATAGAAAGAAAGAAAGGAAAGAAAAACACACCTGGAACTCAGCATGAACACGCTTAGCAGCAGACACCGCAATGAAATTACAAACTAATGTGAGGTTATATGGATCAAGGATGACCATCAGCCCAACCCCGCAATGCCTTCTGCCACCCCAGGAGGAGCCTGAGGGCATTGGATGTTGGGGAACAAAGGTGAGTTCCTACATTTGGGTATTACTTCAGGCCTGGCCCATAGCTGCCGACAACCTGCAGCACGCAGGGAGGACACAGCACACAAACACCCCTAGAGATGCCCTTCAGGGCCCCACGATCCACCCTGAGCTAACTGCAGGGTTGGGCTGATGTCCATGTCCAGGGCACTCACACACGCACACACAGCAGTGCTGGAACAGCGCACGGCCCTGGGGGTGTCACAGCCTCCTAGGGACTGACTGCCAGGATGGAGGGAGGGCCAAAGTCACTCCTGCTGAAAGCAGATGCAATTCACTGTGTCATGTACCTGCTTCCTTTTGAGCCAGTGGTGAATTTGGCCCAGAAATGCAACAAAAAGAAGAGAAACAGAAAGATTTTTGCTGGAAAGTAACGAAGAAAATCTGATTAACAGAAAGAGGAAAAACACTTCAAAAATAAACCACACCTCTAATCTTGTTAAAACAATTCACTCCGCATGCACAAACCAGAAATGCTTTTCAGCAAGAAACTGTGAGATGTTCACCTTTACTCTCGTGAGAACGCGTGTGCACAGCGCTCTGCTTTGGGTTCAGAGAGCAGCTGTGGTGTCCTGGCTGCTGCACATGAGTCTTATCTGCTATTTATTTCTTATTTTTGCTATGGCAAAACTGATCTATTGTGATGATGGTGAACACGGCCTATAGAAGGCAAGGAGTGTAAATAAGGATATCTCAGGAGAGCTCTGAAGCACTGCTATAGTGAGGTGCTGGCCTGAAGAACACAGTGGGCAATGCTTGTTTTTGGGGCGAAGGCTGCTGCCTGCCCCATGCTACAGAGGGCAGAGCTCAGCTGTGCCCAGCTCTGACCAGAACTGACCAGGATTTGGCCCTGTCTTTGGGTGTGAGGTTTGGGGTACAAAGCATTTGCAGAACCTGGTTCCTACAAGGCAGGAGCCGCACAGCCATCTGCACATCACTTCTTACAGCTGGTTTATGTTGCCATAAAGATATCAATAAGAGGGGAAGAAAACGCTGTCTATTATCAGCTCTAATTAATAAGTGGTTCTGGTAGCATTTACTAAATGCATAAAATAAGAGCCATGTGGGACTGGGAAGTCCAGTGGCTGGGAAGCCAGGTGAGATCCAGCCCCCAGTGCATGCTCCATCACCATGAAGTCCAGCTGCACCAAATTTCCCCTATCAATCCAGTTGCTGACATTCAGTTATCATGAGGACCTCATGGAGAAGGAGCACTGGTTGGCCCAGGTGGGACAGAGCATCTCCACCACACAGCCCTGAGCCATCAGCCATGGGCTGAGCAGTGACAGCTCCCCAGCAAAGGAAGCACCAAACCCTTTATGCTGCCCTCCACAAGGCTTTGTAGGAGTGTCTTTGGAGTGAAAGGGTCTGCAGTGGGAGGAGTGGAGCAGGAACGCCTCCATCCTCTTTGTAGAGGCAGTTTCCCAGTCTGAGGCCATGTCTGGCAATCTCAGCATGGAAACACTCCTCAGGTGAGCGAAGGCCCACAGGCTATTCCCTGCCTCTTGGGGACATTCAATAGCTGTGAGCCCCATGGGATGAGGAGAGCTCAGTTTCTTGCCTGGAGTTAACAGGAGACGGCTCTGCAAACCTCACCAGGTTGAAATTTAGCTTATACCAAAGTCTCTGGAATAACAGTACTGAAATGGAAACGTGTCACTTAAAAATACTCCATGGTCTTGTTTCTGAAAAGAGCTAAAATGCAGATACGAGGGAGAAAATATTAAAAGCATTTTATCTCCTATTATTTTTTGAAAAATAATAGGTCCTGGGGAGGAGAAGAGAATGAAGGTGAACACTGAATAGCCATCACAGAACCAGCAGAGCAGATAACAGCCATCATGACATATGAAGGTTCATGATTTGTTATTATGCATGGTAAATACCTTTCAAAATTGCTGGGAATCAAGTTTGAGTTATCACTTGCATACACACAAAAAGCTTTGCCAACAAGATCCGAAAGAATCCAACACTGGAGTTCTGCTCTGCTTTCTCCACCAGCAGAGCTGCAGCTGCCTGCAGGCAGAGCCAGCCCCAAATATGCATGAGGGAAAGTGACTCCTTCATACACACTGTGCAGAATGCAAAATCCAACCATTTCTACCAAAGAAAGCATTCTCTTTTCTTGCCCAATTTCACCCAAGGTCCTTTGCAGCATTGCCAACTATTGCAACTCTTTCAATATGCATTTTTCAATATTTTTTTGTTTCTGGAGTGCTGCTGTTCGAGGCAACATCACTTTGTATGCTGAAAAAAACAAGCAAACAAACAAAAACAAAACCCACAAAAAAGGGATTCGATATTTATAAAACCAAGAGCAGAGCAGAAGAGCCCACCACTCCAAAGGCATTGGTGCCACTTGGGACACTGAGGCCTATAGTTGGCAATGCTGCTTTTCCTGGGACACATGGGGTGTACCCTGCTGTTGGCATAGCTTGTTGCTACAATGAAACTGGGATTTCCACAGAGAAAAACAAAAAATAAAAAGGGGGTGGGGAGGGGAAGAGGGAAGGAGGGAGCAAAAAAAAAACCAACAAATCCACAAGTAGGAACTTACCACAACAGACAATAGTAAGAGTGGGGAGGAGGGTCAGCAACCAGGGCGATAGAGGAGAAAACAGAAAGTATTTAATTAGGGAAATTCCAAAAAACAAACAAGCAGCAAATTGGCAGCAAATAAACTTTAAAATTAAAAAAAAAAAAAAGGGTGAGCATCAATCAAGGTATTCAAAAATAAGGAAAAAAAAGGAAAAAAAACATGCAACAAATCTGAAAGCTACGAAGCACAAAGATCAGAAAAGTGTGGCAATGAAAGAGCACGATGACAGACGAGAACATAAACCATGGGTGTCTTTTACCATGCAATAAAACATGACTGAGTGATGTTAGAACCATAACCAATGACAGAATTTTCTTCAGGGGTCGATTTAGGGGCAGACTAATCAAGATAGATGCTCACAGGCCTTCACGTGCATTGGCTATTGGATGTGGATGGTTGACATTCCCGTGATGTACTCCAAGTCTCACCTGCTGGGACTTCTCACAGGAGCAAGCAAATGATTTACAGGGCCAGTCCTTCAATAGCAGGGGCTATTTTCAAGCTACTGAATTTCACTTCTTGCTGGGCCACAATTAAAAACCATCTTTGAGACATCATCAGCCCAAATTATTTGTCACACAAGTCAAAGAAACTTTGATCTTGGCCCCAGATCAGACAGTGTGGGCTTAAATGCTCTGCTGTGATGGAAAGTTGGGGTGAGATGGCTCACACTGAGTCGCCTGATTCACAGAAAAGCAGAGACTAACCAGACAGCTGAAGTCTATGTGAATAATGCAACACTCATGAACCATTCAAAGTTTCTTCTGCGACTTCTTGACACTCGTGTACCAACTGTGTCAGCTGGGCTGGGCCCTCACTGATCCAACCGTCTGTGCTGGGTGCAGCACCAGATGAAGCTGACTGCTACGCTTGTTTCTAAGCCAACATGTGGTTCTCATGGTGTATCGTTGCAGAAATGGGAACAACCAGCCTCTACAAAAATGGAAGCAGCAAAACTGACTCCAGTTAACACAACTGAGCTGTTTTACTGCCAGATACAGCTACATAACAAACGGATTGTTCTTAAATGAACAGAATAAAGGAGCCTCTTGTCTGAGATACAGTTTGCACATGCGATAAACCAGTTTTGTATTCCAGTACCTCTGAGCATTATTGCTTAAATCGACCCCTGTGGGTGGGGTGAAAATATGGCATGAAGGGATGTTGATGCTGATGAAAAGAAATATAAACAAATTATAAAAACAAACTAGTGATGATACAGTGGCTCATTCACCAAAGAACCTCATTAGTGGAATACATCAGCATCCATGCACTACCTACAGCTTCTTATGAAGAATTTCCTACTACGACCACGATCGGTTTATTGGTATTTCTTTGGTTAATGAATTCAGTTTTAACAGCAGACAGCAACAGAAATACCCACAACTAGCACATGTGGGCAAGCATTGGCGTGAGTCATCTGATAAATCTATTAGTGTTCTTTACTAACTAAATGGAGTTACCTACCTCCCAGCCAGTACTCTGTGTAATAAAAAGTAAAAAGCGCATGTCACAGAAACAAAAAAAAAAGTCCAAAGGCCAAAACATGACCATCAATGTAAGGCAGCATAAACTTGAAATGGTTTCAATGATTTTAAGACATCATGCAACCAAAACAGACTTCTCTGGCCCAGAATGACGCCCAATGATTGCTTCTTATTGGTTCATTCAACCTCACAAACCTGGCAGTGCCAGAACATGGGAAACAATCAGGCCCTCAGCTGCTGAAGACCAGCTGGAAGTTGATGCACTGACTGACATCCACTGTTAGCATAAGGGTAAGTATACCAACAGACAACAGTGCACCAAGCAGCCCACAGCCAGAAAGCTGGCAGGGGTGGGGGCTCAGAGTAGCACTTGGCACTTACTGCCCACACCTGCCTGCAATGAAGGCATGCACCCATCAAGTATCTCCTAGAGGCTTCTAGAAAGTTGCCAAGTGCTCTCATCCCCTGCTTAGCTGAGGTCTGCTGGGCTTTGTGAAGGCTGGTGAAGTCTGATGTCTCCCATCAAATGCTCAGCACCTATGCTGGTGGGTTTTGCACCAAGTTTAAAAAGGTTCTTTCAACAGCTTAGCTACCATTCTAACAGGCAAATAAAACTCCCAACATCCTCTGCGTTACCTACCAGGCTAGAGGCAAGAAACAGTGGTTCTCCCAGAAACAGAGCATGCAAAATACATTTTAAAACAACATCTGAAAGAATTAACTGGCACGTGATTGGAACTTTTTAACGCTTGGATAATTCTGAAGTCACAATAAAACTTGGTATGCAATGTTCTCCTAAGTTTCTTAAGTCAAATACACACAGAGAGAAAACTCCAATTAGTGATCCTTGCATTTACTGCAGATCACTATTTGGCAGTTCTTGTGTAATCTATCAAAACGTTTTTCTCCTTAATAGGTAGTTTTCATTTGACCACAATTCACACTGCAGCTGAAAATCCAAATCATTACCTGGTGGACGATCTTGCTAAATGCTTCTTGGAGTTTACCATGAATAGTGGATAGCTTCTTGGCATCTCTGTTAGCTTCATGAATAGGAATAAGGACTTTGTAAACCTCATTAACTGCTTCATACATGCCAGCCTAAAAAAACAAGGGCCATCAGATCGCTCCATCAGTTCAGCAGCAAGAATGATACACACTCCCAACATTTACATTTTAAGACTGCAAAATAAAAAGGTGGCTCACACACCAAAAGGCACTGTGATGTAATCAGCACCTTTTCCTTACAATATAGCTATGTCTCTAATGGAGATGATCGATGTAAAGAGACAACACACTGTGCAACTTAGTCAGCCTGCTACAGCACATCTCTTTGTTCCAGAGTTACTGCTGCTTGTACTTAAACCCACTGAATATTTCATACTGTGTTGTCGGATATAATTCATTGTTTTCACTTGTTTCTGATGGATACACTACCACCAGCTCACTAACACTGCTCACATGAAGCTCTCAGCCTACCCACTTTGAATAGGAAGAAAAACAGTACGGCCTTTATCTGCCACTGTGAGCTCCAAAACGTGCAGTGTTGAAATGAAAGATGCTAGGAAACCAAAAAGCCCTTTGCTCCCCGACCCCGCTCACTGCAGTTCACTTGAGAGGGCAAACTGAGCTGTCTTGAGCAGCTCAAACTCCCAATGCTCCACGTGAATTAAGCAGTTATAACAAAGCTACACAGTTTCACTGAGAAAACATTTCCCATTATTTTGCCCAGGAGAAGGAGAGAGAGAAAGAAATTCAAGTCTTCTACCATGGAGAAAGATGCTGCAGCCTGCTCCAGCAATCCCACCAGACCAGCTTCTGTGAAATACTTTCCAGAACAGATACCTTCTTCATCTGGTGACACAACATCATCAGAAACTGCTGACTCTTCCAAAACATTAGAAGATATGTTCTAAGGAAACATAACACAGGTAAAAATTTGTGCTCAATTTCAATGACATCCAACACTTTGAAAGCTTGATGATTTCAATCGAATCCTACAATGTTTAAAGCAGCAGCTGTTATGTGCTTTTTGTTTCATCTCCTTCTGAAACAACAGGATACTTCAGCACATGGTTGAGCTGATTGGAGTGACCCATGTGTTCACAGCTGTGTGCTTGTTTGCTCTGCTCAGCGTTGCCCTGCTTAATGTGAGTCACAACAACCCCTCCATAAGTTGCTTCGGAACAACTGCACTCACTTCACAGTGACTGGACTAAACAGATGGTAAAGAAGTACAACTTATATGAAGAAACAAACTCAATTGGATTCATTCAGCCTACAGATGAGAGGCTCAGGGGAATCAAGCCGTGTTCAAGCATAAAGATTATTTTCAGAACTTGCTATGATGCATTCTCCACAAAATAAACTGAGTGAATGCAGTGTGAATGTCTAAACATAGGAATATCTGTCAGCAGCAGTGACAAAACCCCAAAATACACTACAGAAGATAACCTCTACCTGAAATGTAACGCATCCCACAGGGAGGTATTTTCGGTCCTCGAGCATGCTCAGATACTCAGCCACCAAGGCTGCAGAGTGGACCAAACACTGTGCTGACTCTGCATGATTGCTCCTCTCTGAGTGCTTTCCAGCCATGTTCTGTAACCAGGTCAAGCGCAGGTCAGGGGAATTCTGATAGCCCTTTGCAATCCTAGTTAAAAATAGGGAAAAAAAAGGAGAGAAAGAAAACACACACACACAAAAACTCTGCAATTAGTATGCAGTCATTTCTGTTTAAGCAACAACCACTTCACAGATTTCTTAGCTAGCTACTGGTGGGCGAGCAACTGGATCAAGCTAGTGATGGCTCACTGCTTCTAAGGGTGACTGCTGAAGCTCTTGACTAAATTTCATATTTCAGACTAGAACTGCAGCATCACTGCTCCAAAACGATGCTCTGTAAGGGCTCAAATGGACAACATCTGAGTTCAAAACCAAAGAGCAATTACCTGTGTTTATATTAGGTGACGTGTGAATCACAGGAAGCAGTGCAAAACAAGCTTAAGTTAAAAGTAAAATGATTGCCAAATGCACGATCAAGATTCACAGCTACACAATACTCAGTGCTCTAAATACAGAAGTGCCATAAGTACTAAGCTTCTTCAAACACCAGCTGGACACTGACATCTACTGTCCCTGCTGTGCAATGAGTATGGACTCTACCTGTACATCAGGTCAATTAGCATTTCTGGATCTTCCTGGTGCTCCTTCATTTTAACTGTGTCAGAGAGGATCATGTGCAGGTTGAACACTAGATCTTGGACCTGTAAAAAATACACCGCTGCAATGAAGTAGCAATGAGAATCAAGCTACTTACTGCTATGCCAGGGCCACAGCTGCTCTGAGCCTCTGTGTGGTTACCTCACTGTCAGAATTAATCAAGGATCTGGGTTTGGTGTACTCAGGTCACAAAAAAAAGTACGAACCTCCTTCGAGGAATGCATGCAAATATTCCAGGCTGGAAATAAACTAAATGCCACTTATTCCTGTGGTTCTTTTACCTGATCAGGAAATGTTGTCTCTCTGAGTTCCAGATCTTCTTCAGCATATGTTAGAATAGTCTTCAAGGAACGTCGTAAAAATTCCTCATTGAAATTCTGGGATGTCCCCACCAGGGATGAGAGAGACATAGTCACCTGCATTTTCACTCTGGCAAAGTTCTGCAACAGAGAAACTGTATTTCAACAACCTGCCAATACTGTGCACTCACTGTTATCAGAGTCAGTGAATCCCTCCAGTTCTGCTGCTCAGCCTTGGTGAGCACTTTGTGACAGACAGGCACGTGGGTACTTGCAAAATACCAACTGGAGGAGCTGAAGCTGAGAACTTTCTTAGCACTTTGAAGCACATGTGAGTTAGTAAACCTGAGATCTAATTAGAAATTAGTAACATCTGGAGGAAAACAAAAATCCCAGTATTTCTAATTCATTTTCATGCTTGTCTAGCTGATAAGCCCTCTAACAGCCTTTCTTTCACATGAATGAATACACAGTGCTCCATCCAGAGGTCCCCAACCAGTTACCATATAACAACCTAATGAAGTGCAGCAGGACACTCACATTCCCAATCTCAAAGTTTTGCCTCATCAGAAGGTAAAGTGAGGCACTCGCGTGTGACCGTATTGTGCTGATGCTGCTGCTACAGTGTCTCAGGAGCCTCAGGCACAGATCTGCACACTGCTCAGTCTCCTCTTCAAACAGCAGCTCAGGGAACTGGAAAAACAGCATATGAGAAAACTACTGCCTGGATAGACAGAAACAAGCACTCAGACATAAAGGCCACGATGATCCTATCAAGCAATAATACATTAAGCATACATCAGCATTAGAGGAAGTTCAATCCCCTCAAAGCTTCCTTTGAGGGGAATTGTGCTGGTTTGAATCACTTCACTTTTACAGTTAGAGAGATGCAGAATCACTGGTAACACTGGAAGACATTTTACCTACTATTCATTTTACCTACTCCACCACTCCTTGCTCCTGCATATACACCTTTCGATTGATTCACACTGATTCCAAAAACTCAGGCTTAAACCTTTGGGCTATTACCAGTACATATGCAGAATCATAGTTTAAATTATGGTACAAGTGAAAAAAGAATAAATCAATTTTAAGCAAGATTCATCCTTAATTTCAGCTGTTCCTTGCGCTGCCTGCTGGCTAAGTACATCTGCTAGCCAGCAGGAGCCCACACCATACTCATTCCTCATGAACTGCACCTTTGTGCACAGCTATAAAACCCAAACTGCATAAAAAGAGCACCCCAATCACAAAAACCATTCAGGTTTTATCCATCCCGAGACCCCATTTCCTGAAAATCAGTCCTGCACAAAACAATAAATGCTGGGTGAAGCGACAACGATATAAAGGGAAAAAAACAGCCCCATCCTCCATCTGCACTGCTCAGGATATATTACAGCATCTGCAGAGAATTCACCTTTGAGACCAAAGCTCTCTGTGTGGCGAAGCAGTGTTGGAGATAAAGTGCACTTTGGTTGCAGGCCATGCTGTGCAGAAGCACCTTCAGCACCCCGCCGAGGATGCTCTCTTTGGACTCCGTCACAGAAACAGTCTGCAGGCAAAAGAAAACCAAGGGTCATACGAGCACAAGCAAACCTCCTGGGGGAGCTGTAATAACTCTGCTGAAAACCCCCTTGGCATGGAAAAACTGTCCACTTTGCTGAGCCTGTGGAACAGTCGCATTTCTGAATCGGCTCCAGGTGATGGAAATCTGACCCGTGAGCTGAAGGAGATGGAATGACACAAAACTGCCGTGTGCCCATGCTCACTGGTGGGTAAAGGGGAAACAGACAGATTTTGTACCACAGCGAGGAGCCTGGAGGCTTTCCTGCACTGTGCCACTGTGTACAAACACAAGAGACCGACCTGGAACTGAATGACTGGAGGCAAATTTGGGAAGGAACCAGAGGAGTTGGCTGTAATAGGGCAATACTAGCCAATTTTCACTGTTCATTAATGGAGTTTTAAAAACAAATACTCCTTATACTACAAAAAAGGAACAATTTCCAAAAACCCTGAAGAAAGCTACAGTACTTAAAAACCATACTGTAAAGGGCTGAGGATGAGGAGAGGCATTACAATCCTTCCTGCTGTAGCAGTAGACCTGGACAGTTCTGACAGTGTTCAGGCAGTTAGAATGGCAGGAAGGCTCTATTTAATGAACTGCTGCCAGGCCAGCTGATCCTAATGGTATCACATCTCTTTTCTTCTACCATCCTTACCTGTACAACTATCTCTAGTGTATCCAAAATAATTAGATTTGCTTCTGTTGCAAGATTTCCATCAATAAGTGCTTCATGTTCTATCTCTGCTCGTGATCTATTCGGAGAAAAGAAAGCAATAAAATTACCTTCTGTTTAAGAAGCAAACCCAATATTATTCTCCACTTGAAAATATTTCCTCATTGGCAGGAACCCCTTGATTACAATGCACATACTTATTGCTGGACAACACAACGATCCTTGAATGTATCCATTAAGAGGACAGGAAGACTTGCTTTTTTTACATATACAAACTTACAGGTGATTTACGTTCATCATGCTCAGGAGAGATCACACTACTTCTGACACTTCATTTACACTCCCAGGAAGACAACAGGCATTTAGAATCAAAGTCCAACTCAAACTGGTTTAGTAGCATTGTAAGGCATGCAACAGCGAAACCAGGAATAGAATGAATGGTTTCATGTTGTAGGCTATGGACACACGGTGGTGCTACACGAGCTGGTATTTATGCACTTTGTTCCCAGCAGCCAGACTAGTTGCAGGGCAGAATGCACAGTGTGGAGGTGTGATTTCTGCCCTCTTATGCTACATTACATTACAGTTTTTGAAGAATATCTTCCATGCCACGAATAAAAAACCCACACAACTTTGCTGTTTAATATCAGGCACTCACTTCCCTCAAAAGGCTGACAAAGTTCATATCCCCACTCACAGCAGAGGTCTCAGGAATTCAGCAGAAACCACCTCAATTCAGTGACAGGAGCTGCACTTGGCAAAGCCCCAGTGCTACATCTAAAGGGCCCAGCTACAGCTTGCCCAACTCAGGTGCTATCTCTGACAGATTCAAGCCAGGCCAAATGGCACTGAAGGCATGATGCAGAGTACTGACAAAATCCAAACAGAGCACACATCAAAGAGGATGGAGCTGACTTGGTTGACAGTGTTCCTGGAACCTGTACTGCAGCAACACTCCCGTGCCACACAGCTTCCCATGGGAGCTGGGTCATACACTCATTGTCTACTCCTCAGTCTCCAGAACATGAAGGCTTGGTGCCTGATCCTTCTGGGCCAAAGAGAGAGGCCCAGCCCCTGTGTCAGTAGTGAAAGGATGAATTCTGCAGGCCAAACTTTAATCCAGTAAAAGTGCCCATGGCTCAAGTTGAACCATGGTGAAATTTATACCTACATCACTATGTGAGGAGGTTTAAAAGACACTGTTGATCTGGCTTTCCTGATGCCTCAGCCAGACTGCAGTCCTGGACAAGAAGCCACTACCTGACATAACAAGAGATCTACACTTCTGTGTTGGACAAAATAATGATAAACTGTAAAGATGCACTTTCAAATCCAAGAAGTATCTCTATGTCTTTGTGGGTAAAATTTGGCCTGACTTCCATCCAGGCTGAGGACCTGGCTCCTCAGTTTCTTCAGAGCTTCACTTGGGCTGAGATTATTTTCCTAGGATTAGGAACAATTCCAGACTGCAGATTGCAATTTGAGGAAACAGAAAACATGCACTGCAAAGCTCAAACACAACTCCTGAGCCTTCCAAATTAAACCACACTGGGAGAGGGAATTATAAAGGAAATGGGTGTAATAAGCAAGAGGAGCTCATTCCAACCAGTTGCACACACACGCACACACGCACACACACTGAAAACTTCTGCCAAGCATCACAAACAAGGCTGTGATGATTGAATCTGCAGATGTATAAATGGCAATTTATAAGAACTGCACACCAACACTACAGTACCTGGCTGGTTTGTGGCTTCTAAAAGCACAGCACATGTGGAAAAACAATCAAAGTGATGGATTAGGGAAGGAAAGGAAAGTGAGCTTTGACAACTCCAGAAAGCTCTTATGTAATAAAGGAAATATGACATGGGATATATACGCTATCTGTGAATATTGTTCATGAATCTTCTCTCTAAATTACAGCTTACTACAGGATTTTTAGAAGGCCATGGATTGTATTAGTCTTGTTAAATCTCTTTTAAAAATACTGAGAAAGTAAGGAATGGTGGAAAATAAGAGTTAAAACAGGGCAGTGTCAGCAAAAATCTATTTGTACATCGCCAGACCTGCTCCAGTGGAGGGCTCAAACAGGCTAAGTGGACTGCTGCCACTGACCATCACTGGTGAGAGAGACCCTGCATTCCCACAGGCACTGTGACATGGTTAAAATAGAAGAATAAGGCAGAGTTACTTGTCAAGCTTCTCCGTGTTTTGACGCCAGTGAGTCATATCCTTTCTCCATCTCAAATTCTCCTGACTTCCAAAAGCGCTCCCAGAAGGACTTCTCTCTGTAGGATAATATTAAAATAATAGCAGCCATTTAATTTTTATTTTTATTTTTTTTTTAAGTACCAACTCTACGTTGTTAACATCCAACAGGTGACAGCAAGCTATAACTTATTCCTTAGATCCAATGCTGTGGCACTCAGACCCAAGCTGTCTATGTGGTCTCTCACTAAGTGCCATGAGAGGTAACTTGTCTTGCAGTCATTTTCACCCAAGTACTGAGTACAGACTGAGCCAACTGAGACAGACTGCTGAGAGGTAACTATCAGGGTTGCTGAGAAGCAACTTCTTTGGACTACACAGGAGCCTAGGTTTAGCAATCTTCAGCAGTCTGACACTACTGTTTGTCAGCTGAAAACAGTGATGTCTTCAGGATGGTGCTGAGATCCCATTTCCTGCTTCACAGGCTATCTGTCTTTATTGCCACCGCTGGGAGGGCAGGGAAATTTCATCACACAACATCCCAGATAAGGGATAAAAGCAATCAGATCAGATTTAGGAGAAGAAAAAAAAAAGTACAAAGGTCCCTAACTCTGTGAAATGACTCATTAATTATGTCTCTAACATATTTATTCAATGTAGCCCACTGTGAGTGACTCACATGTACCAGGAAGCCTCCAGCAAAGCAGGAGACTGAACCCAGTTGATTGTTGTCCTAATCCCTGGGCCATTTAGGGAAGGGTGTAGCAGTTTTTGAAAAATATGTAGAGTGCAGAAGAAGTCTTTACTCACCTAACTGTCCTCTGCTTCTTCGGACCATTTCCTGCCTTGCTCCTATGCTTCCCAAAATAGCCTCTTCAAGCTTGGCTCTCATGTCTTTTGACTTCTTGAACGTCAGGCTGTTCATTCTTTCAAACACTTTCTTGCCCTGCAAGTTTCAAATGATAGTGAGGGAAGAGACTTTCAATTTGGATTATTTATTAAGTGCAACAACTCAAAAGACCATTCCTGTATGAAGAGAGAAAGAAAGGAACATAGCTTTAGTTGCTAACTAGATAATCTACCCAGATCCAGCAACACTTCAAAAAGCTCTCTTATTGTTGGGAACAAGCAAAATGACCAAGAGATATTTCCTTTACAATGCTGCAGTTCCCAGATGAGTGGCAAGCAACACAAGCTACATAAAAAATGAAAGGAGACAGAAACACTTACATGACTGAAAAGTAAACATGGAAGAACGCCAGAGGCTGCACAGAGAAGTGCTTAGCCATGGGATTTAGATTACAGGAAATACTGAGAGAACAGGAAATGCCTTTCTGGAATTGTACAAAGGATGGGAGTGTTACATTTCTCTGCGAGCCTTAGAAGAAACTCCAGGAGGTTTAAATACCAGTACCTTGTATTCAAAACAGGATACGCAAAGATAAAGCAAATCCAGCAGGCGATTGAGCTGCAGCACTGACAGGTCTGTGAACCACTTCTGTAAGACACTTTCATCTGCATTCTTGAGCACCCACAAGAGACAGATCAGGAGGCTGCGGCTGGACTCTGTTGAGAAGGTGGAGTGCTGCCTGCCACTCTAGAACAGATAGGACAAGACATCTGTCACATTGGATTTCACATCCAAAAATGCTTCAGTCACCACTGAAAGGATTTCCATAAGGTGCTACTCTGGCCTAAATAATTGCCAGGTAGGAACAGAAGTGAATAGGGAGAAATGGAAGGGTCTGCTAGAACTGAGGAGATTCCCTTTCCTGTGCAGAGAACAAGGCCCATTTACATCTTCAGCTAGGTAAGACTTGGATGTGGTAGGAATTTTTGCTTAGAACTTATAACAACCATTGTAATTCAAAGAGCTTTCATGCAATTGTTTCAGAAAGAGAAAATATTTATCAGAAAATTCTTACATATTCTGAGGTTTGTTGATTCTCATCCCTGCCTGACACTTATAACCCCAATGAGACAGGTACAACAACATTCAGTAGTGATTTGTTCCCTTGTCTTTCACCCTCTACAACACCCAGCCACAAACTGATACGAGTTTCTGCTGCTCACTGATCAGCCCTACAGGGCGTGCACGTGTAAATATTTGCTTATTGACACAGGGTGAGGGTCAAGGAATAGGCAGAAATAGCTTTGTACCGATGAGGTGAGTAGAAAACTGCTGGGCCTGGTGAGCTGAGGGACCGATGTTCCTGCGATGGCCATGGCAACTGTCTGGCTTATCATGCTTCCACTCTCGCCTTCATAATCATCAGCAGTGACGCAGCTCGGCCTCCCTCGCTGATTGTGACTCTCTGCCAGAAACACACACATCCCAGTTAATCCCCAAACTCAACACTTTAATCCCCAAACTCAACCCCAGCCTCCCTCCACAGTGCTTGTTTCACTGAACCATCTAGGAAGGCAAACTGAGAAACATCACACCCACTGATAGGGTCCTGCAAGTAAACAAGGCTTACTATTATTTGGGATTATGCAAGGCTAAGACAGTAACAGTTTGTAAAAGCCTTCTATACCAACCTCAATATCTAGAACACTTTTGAAAATAGACTTTTCACTCCTTTGAAGTCCCAACACCACAACTTTACTTTTTGCTTTACTGTGCCATTAAACTCAAAGGATGGCAAGGACTCCAAATCCCAAACTACTCCAGACCAGATCACCTGCCCTGAGCTGACACATCTCACCTCTGCTTCTCTGCAGGACACACCTGAAATGACTTGCTGATAGAGCACACACAGAAAGGAAGTAGAGGAACTCTGCTCCTTCTTTTTAACCTTTGAAAGATTGAGGGTTCCGGGCTTGTTTAGTTAGGAGAAGAGAAAGCTCCAGGGAGACTCACTGTGGCCTTCCAATACTTGAAGGGAGTGCATAAACAGGAGGGGGAATGGCTGTTTGTGAGGGTGGATAGTGATAGGACAAGGGGGAATGGCTTTAAACTGAGACTGGTTTAGGTTAGATATAAGGAGGAAGTTTTTCACCCAGAGGGTGGTGAGGCACTGGAACAGGTTGCACAAGGAGGCTGTGGATGCCCCATCCCTGCAGGCATCCAAGGCCAGGCTGGATGTGGCTCTGGGCAGCCTGGGCTGCTGGTTGGCAGCCCTGCACATAGCAGGGGGTTGGAACTGGATGAGCACTGTGGTTCTTTGCAACCCAGGCCATTCTAGGATTCTATGATTCTAATTGTTCTGAGCCCTGCACAGTATATGGGATGACTTTTGAATCAGGTCAGAGCAGACAGGCCAGCCTTACGCAGATAGCAATTAAAATGCACTGCTCATTTTTCACTTTATGCAAACAAGTGGCCAAACGCAGCTTTGAGTGTTCAGCCATTGAGGATTTTGCAAGTGCACTTTAGCAAATGGATGTGGAAACACATCAAAGTTATTATACTTCAGAAATACAAACGACCTCATCCACCAGTAACGGGTCTTGTTTTAGAACCAACGGAATTCGTTCTAGACAAGAAACGCTCAAACTTGGTGAGCAGCTGAACATATACCCACAGCACAGAATATGAAATACCTGTAAAATCATAGCACAGAATACAAAATACCTGTAAAATCATAGAGCTGAGGCACCGTTTCCATGATCACACCAATCAGAGGTAGATACAGCATTGCCACCCGGGCCTTTACCTGCGGGTCAGCGTACCGCGGGTCCGAGTCGTGACTGGACAGTAAGTTGTGTACCATATTGATGACCTTCTTATGCAATCCAAATAAACTGTTAAAAGAGAGTTGGGTCACGCAGATTAGTTAATGCCTTCAAAGCAAACTGTGTGTTGTAACTGAGTGGTTTTGGTTAAAAAAAAAAGGAAGAAAAGGAATCCTAGTTTGTATTTTTAACTGTTTTAACATAAACTGTCACTGCACATATTCTTCCATCACCCAAGGATTTTACAAATGGCTGGCTGCTGACCATGCCATATAGAAGGTATAAAAACATCCTGCTGAGGTGTACACTCAACATGATGCAAGCACTCTCACATTTTCCATACAAAGCCCCAGCTTTGCAATGCTGCTGTACCGAGTCAACTGAAGAATGCTAGGAGAGAGAGGGAAATACAGAGGATGGGGAGAGAAACTCAAGAGTAGGTTTAGTGACATCAGTTGTAGTGCTCTTTTCTGTTTCTATTTAACTCCATTCACAGAGAGAAAAGCCCTCCTAAAACAGAACATTGCTTTTATCAAATGATCAGAAAGATTTTGCCTCAGTTCCCTGAATCCCCATGCAATTATTCAACCGAAACAGACTACAGCTCAGTAGCTGAATGCAAACTATCAGAGAAATGGAGGGGCAGAAGGAAAAACCCAGCAAGAAGTGGCCTTCCTCATTATTAAGCTGCAAACAATGGCAGGGCCCAAGCACCATTCCCTCTTGCACAACACTGTGTGTAAGCCTACTGGTGCTCATGCCTCATGAACATAAACCCCTTTGACTCCTGACAACTCACTCTGCTCCTCTCAGTCCTCTCAGCCACCACACAGAGGGCAAACTCTCCCAGAGCAAATAGCATGTATCTCTGTAGCTATTTGCTTCTGGAGGCAAACCAGTCCAATGCAACAACCCTACCCCATGCACAAAGCAGCCAAAGAAGCTCATACATGATGCAGTAGCAAAACATAAGCTTCAGTGTTCAGACCTGTGGTATTAAAACAAGGGCCGAATTTCAGGCAGTATCCACTTTACCTGAAAAGTAGAGTTGAGTTCTGGTTAAAAAAGACGAGAGGATCTGACTGGATTGTTGTGGGTTTAAAGTGGTTATAAAGACACCAGTACAGGTTAGGAAGGCATCAGGTAGGTGAAACTACATTTCTCTCTGTGTTTTTTACATCACACCAATATAAATCCTACAGCTGCCTTGTCATTATCAATGAAATCCTAAACAGCTAGGAAGGAAATGCTTATTTAAATAACTGGCAGCACAACCTTCAAATTAAGGTTAAAGAAAAAGCTTTGTATTGTTTTGAAGGAGTGGCATCTAGGCTGCACTTGAATAGCTGGAAACAAGCTATCCAACAGGCAATGGAACTAAGCACAGGGAAAGCACATTCAAACAATGCAGTGTAATTAAAACCTAGGGCTACATGGGTTTCTTTTTCCCTTTTCCTGAACAGAACGGGTACAGGATCAATCTGTATGGAGGAGGAAATGTGACCTGCTTATCTTTCTGTCTGATAACGCAGTGAAGTGATCCTGCTGCCCTGCACCAGCCCCTCTGACATCTCAGCCTTGGATTTGTGACAACAGTGCACATGTCTGCAAAACTGACTTTCGTTGGTGAATACCCAGGGTCAAATCTGATTTTCTCATATCTGCCCTGTAATGTCAGTCAACACAGGCACTATGAAATGAGCAGTAATTGTTGTTACCACTGAATAATCAAGACATGCAGTGCTGTCAGCAAAGAAAACCTGTTCAAGGTCTATCTGCCTGGGCTGACTCTAGCTTCTTTAATCCACATGCTGTCTCCTCTTTTAGACTACAGGTGCTCTGGAGGAGGACTGTGACATGTTGTGTTACTGTACAGCACCTAGCACAGGGGGATGTAACCAAACCTCTAGGCAACACAGCACTGCAGTCTTTCCTTTTCAGTGGAATCCAAGGCTCTTATACAATGGGTGAACTAAAATGTAATGTATTTTACCAAGGGAACAAAAGCATGGAAGGAATAAACATAAGGCTCTACATCACCTAACAAGATCTAATGCAAAGCTCTACTGGAATGAGCAGCTAAATGGGTGGGCATCCCTCTGCACTCCTGGGATCAATTGTAAGCTTTTTCCAACAGTGGCCAAAATACTTTAATGGTAAGCATGCCTAAAACCTCCTTTAATCATCTGATAATGATCCTCACACCTGACCATTAGAACTCTTCTCAGGCATGAGAACGATAGACCCCATGGTGCATCTATCAGGGCAAAGACAGATTTAATCCTGAGAAGAGCCAACAAGCTGCAAACCACAAGTCATTCTGGAGAACTGTAACAAATAAATGCATTACAGATACACATCTTCACCAAAATTCAGGAGCCTTTGATCAAAAGGGATTTCCAGAACTGAACTGGTATCAGTGGGCTTTTGCTGTCTACAGAGAGCCCAGATAGGAGCTGTCTCTCTAGTGGACACAGATCATATTGATGGCTCCTCTGTGCAGCTGGACAAAGAGGTCCAGCACCAAGGTCCAAGCTTAAGGGCTGAGAACATCAAGGTGACAGAGCTCAAAAAGTAGTATGTGAGAAAAGAAAGGTTGTGAAAATAAGAGGAAATGAGACCAGAGACAGGACCTCATTTCTTACCAGGGAGGAGGATGTTCCTGTTCTACAAATAGGATTTCTGCAGTGTGTGAATGGGTAAAGATTTGCTGCTTTTTCAGACCAAACAAGTGGGACTACAATGTGTTATGCACATATACAGGACAACAAACTCATTTATGGCATCACTTTCTTCTCCAACAAGAAACAGAATTAATGTTTAACTCCTGAGACCTCTTGGTAAAGGGGCAGAATTACCCATGAATCATCAGTATTCGTCGACTCTGCTGATATTTCTGGGTCCACCTTGAGAAAATGCCTGTGAGAGAACTTAGGACTGCAGAAGCAATCAATAATTTCTATTGAAATCCATTTGAAAGGAACAAGACAGAAAACAGCCTTAAATAATACAAGTAACAGACTGGATGTCAGGTCTACAGGCTACACTCCCACTTCAAAAAATTATTTGCTCCACAAGCCAGGCGAGTCACTGACCAACTCTGCACATTTGACTCTATTTGTCTATTTATGTAACCCATGGGGGTCTCACTGATGCATAATTTATGTTGAACAGAGGGGACTACAGGCAAAATGCACTGCAATATTTGAAAACACCAGCAACAGAGACTTCTTAAACACAAAATTATTTTTTTGTTATAGTTGATAAAAGCAGTTTTCCTGTTGGAACTCCACTGGTGCCCCTATGGAGCTGGGGTCTCCAGAGGGAATCTCTTTCCCCCCTCAGCTGGAAAAATATGATTGAAATCATGTTCACAGTGCCAGTGCTAAGGAACTGAGAAACAGAAGCAGAAAGGAAAAAGAGGATTCTCAGAGTTAAAGAACAGGTCCCTTACCTTCTCAACTCACAAACATAACTTAATTTTGGCCATGCCAGAATTTGCTTGCTATCCATCATTTACTTGGAACTACAGAAAATTCTCGAGGAAAAAAATTGCAAAGATTTACCCTTCTGCATCAGGATCTAAAATGACAGCCAGTTCTGTTAACACAAGCCCAGCCAAGTAATGCTGTTGACGGAAAGGCACAGACAATTCAAACATATTTGCAATCTTCTGGTCTTGGACATTTGTGGAGAACCCAGAACTCTGGAAAAAAAAAGCCAAAAAAACCAACTAAGTTTCACCAGCTGCATCATAAGGATCCTTGGAACACAGAGAGTCAAAGCCCAGGAAACACAACAAAAGCAGTTTCAGAATTAAACACGATCCCAGGTAAACCATTTTTTTCATGTTTTGTTTGGATGTAGGCACGTTTAACTACAATATATCCAAGCTTTCTACTTCTTCTCTTAATTGTTTGTCATTATTGCCTCCTCTCCTGCAAGACAGCCTTAGAGAAGTTAAGCCAAAGTATCTTGGAAAGTGCATTAGTTAAACTTTTAACTCAGGCATGGATCGTTTCCTCAGGCTTAAGAAAGCTTTAATTTGAGTAAGTTTAATTAATTTTTCAACTAATTAATCTACCTGAACAAAACACTTGTTACTCTACTTTTTCTCAGCAGGTTGGGACAACACTACAGTATACAGAAAGTCCCTTGTTTTATAAGAAAAGGGTAATAGTGTACAAAGTCTTTTTTTAATGGCTCATTTATGCTCATGCATAACACGGAAAGAGATTAGGTGCCTTGGGACAAAAGGGTGTGTGGACACTATGGGGGTACACATATGGGCTTCTTTTTTTTTTTTTCCCAATGATACAATATCAAAACAAGTGAAAACCAACACAGCAGGAAAAACTGTTACACTTTCCTCCAAAGTCTGAATGTGAGGTTCAAGATGGTTCAAGATGTTCCAGAAAGAAGTAAAACCAAAACTGCTGTAGCCAAAGTCACATCATCACCCGAGCTGCCTGCAACCCTTACATGGTTCCCATAGCCCTCATCTACCCATTGCAGCCTTTCCCCAGCACATCAGTGGCAAAGGGGGCCTTTCAAGTGAGAACTCTGTCTGTGTGCTTTCCAGCAGTTCACCCGTTCTTTCCTGAATGAAGTTAATTTCTAAATAAACATTTCCAATAAATACTAGCAAGCAGAGACTGAAAATATGGATTACACATCTTCTGCCTCATGTGAATCAAGCCTCAGAACAAAGCTCAGCTTGAATTCCCACAAAGGGCCCTTGTTGCAGGGTACCTGGGAAGTTGCTGAAGACACAGACGGTGATGGAGACGCAGGCGGTGTGAGCAAGCTGCAGGGTAAATTCAAGGTGACATAGTGTTCATGGCTGCAAATGATGCGAAGGAAGTCCAGCCTCAAAGATGCCAGGTTACTTGGGTTTGTTAAGGAATACAGCTTTGAAGACACCTGGCAAGTTTAATCCGTAAGACTGCAGTTAGCACCAAAGCAGATTACAAATGCAGCACTGGCTCTCCTGCCCCACTACCGCTCCCAAAACTGCTTCCAAAGCAAGAATTAAACAACTTGACATCATTACATGACCCCATCCACATTACTTCTCTGTGCTACAGATTCAACTTCTGATGTGCAGGAGTCACACGCCTCCCAGCCAATAACAGCACACATAGCAGTACAAGATGTATATACAAGTCATGTTTTTACAAGCAAATTAAGTCCATACTTCACTGTCTGTCTAAAAGAAGAGTTATGCCATGGATCACAGCTAAGTCATAACATTTATCTGCATTCACCTGTTTGTAGCAGGTCTTAATAAGAACAAAAACAAATCCTCTGTCCATGATAGACAATAGATCATTGAGGAAAAATGCAAGACTGGTGTTGAGCCTTTCAACCATTTCTGTATCCTGGAGAGAAGGAAGAGAAAAATGGAAAATGACAAAGAACACGCTGAGCAGTAATAGAGCAATACAGTGAATTCAAATGAAAACTCCTGCTCTAGGCATCAGAAAGAACACACAGTAGGGTCTGGTGCCTGAGCTCTGATGTGAGCTCACTTTAATTGTTTGTCATTACCTTCTGAAACCGAGAGACTATATCACCAGCAATTGTGCTGACCAAAGCAGTTACATCATCCATGAAACGCTCAGGAAAACGATTCTTCCTTGAAGCATCCAGTTTGTCAGCAAAATACAAATGATGCACCATGCTCTTCACCTATAGGAATATAAATTACAGTGGAGTCACTTGTGGAAATGAAACAGGATGGAGACTCGGTTGTTGCTGTTTGTGTTTCAAATGATGAATGTTAAAGCAGTAAGCAAAGTGCTCCCAGTTTGCTCACCATCAGCTCGAAGAAGAACCAGGCCTGCTGCAGGGCTGCCTCCCGCACACTCCCACTGCACACGACCCACTGTAAGGCCAGCTCTTCATGAAAAAGCTACACAGAAGCAAATCCAGAGTTAGTCCAAGCCTCAGCAGCAGCTCACAAAACAGTCTGCATGAGAAATGGGAGCACGGTCCATGGAAAGTATGGCAAACAATGAGATTAAGCAAAATAATAACTGAGGACATGACAGCAGTGGTGGTTCCTTAAAGAAATCCCCAACTAACAATGAAAGATGATGTCATGATATGGAATGGGAGAAACGTTCCAAAGCATCTCGCTTAATTGAATTTCAAGTGTCAAAAGGATTTTCCACCCACCCAAAAGGAAAAAAAAAAGGTTTGGTGCTCATATTAATTTATTTTAAAAGTCTACCTTTCTGCCTGGTCTGATTTTTGCAGGAAAAAGGAGTAAAAAGTGGACATATAAAGCAATTTGTACAAAGATAAACATTTACTGTGAGAAAGGACTTAAAACAGTAAGAAAGAAACGTGGGGCTAAGAATCAGCTTTTAGATTTCTTTTCTTGGGAGTACCAATCCACAGACTGGACACTGTCAGTGACCACATTTCCCTCACACAGAAGTCTGGCATTTTGCCTTTCTGATGTTGTTCAGTACGATCTCATCTCCTTAAAGGGAATGCACTTCCAAGGCAACTCCCTCCCACTTTCTGGAGTCACTCTGGATTAACACCTACGTCCCTGAGTTCAGAACACATCTGCAGTGCCAACCATCTAACACACTGTAATTTTGCACACAAGGATGTGTCATTTACATGTCTAGACAGTGCTATCCGTAATTTAATGTAAAGCCACAGATACTATGGCTCCAAACAGCACGGACATTAAATCAGACAAGCTACTCCTGATGATGTTACTCTTCCCAATTCGGCTCTGTCAGAATACCTCACATTCACCACAGCCTGGATGTTCAGAGGTGTTAAGCAGCAGCGGTTCCTAACGACCTCAGAAAGAATCAGGCTATAGATAAAACAGATGTTTTCAGAATGACTTGACCTCCCTGCCCCACAACATCAATTGTCTTCACTGAAATCTACCTTTTTAGTTGGTAACCGTCCTGTTAATGTTTGTAAGAAACTTGACGTCTCAGTGTGCGAAGACATACGATTACAACTTCGATCCGTAGCCTACGGAGTGGAGATGAATGAATGATGACAGGACATTAAAGTTTGCTGTGGATGGGTTTTGCAGCTCAAGGACAACGTACGTTTACAAAAATACTGTTCCAACTGTAGGCTTTTACTGCCTTTACACCTTTTTATGCATTCTCAAAGTCTTACTCATTTACAGACCTGCTTTAAGCAACATGACAGAACTTTTTACTGTTTTAAGACACATAGGCTATTTAAATAACTGCGTGTTCTTATGCACAAGGACATTTAGTGCTGCAAAGCATGAAACCTTTTCATCACTCTATTTTATCAACATGCATATGTCAAGGAAGTAATACTTGTAATTTCAGTGCCATACCTCTCACTCTACCAGACCAAGTACGTGCAGATGTAACACTGCTACTGGCACAGAGAACGAGAAAATCACTTAAGTTATTGCTGGTGGTAATAATTGGCAGGAGTACAAGTGACTGGATACTTGTAAAAGTGGCAAACTTGAAAGGAAGTACAGTTGAGAGGTATGTTCAAGGCAACCATGCAGTGGAAAGCAGCAGGCAATGGGGGCTAAAATAACTTAAGTCTTTTTGACCAAAGCTGCTATAAAGTTTTCATACTTTGCAACATGGAACAGATACAATTGGACCCAGAGAATCACTGGTTCCAGCACTTAAATTTACACCTTCCAAGAGAGAATTTTACATGTGTATCAATTTTGGTTTAATAATATTCCACTCAAACAGACATGAAGGATTACTTGACTATGAATACTAAATGCTTGATGAAAATGGCAAAATGGTTCACATTAAAAGAAATGGCAAACATGGACAAAACTATGAGGCTGTGATCGATGTTCCCATTTAGAAATGTGCTCCACCTGAAGCTGAAACTAGTGTTAGAGAGAGAGAGAGAAAAAAGAAAGGAAAAGCAGTCACAGCATTTACATTTCACAGACCAGCAACCACTGAAATGAAAGAAGGGGACACGTTCACAAGTTTTGGGGTTTGTCATGCAGTGCAGTGAGGTGGTGGGGGAGAAGATGCTGATTCATAAAACGAAACTCAAAGTTTACAAAGAGCAATTAAATAAGTAGGTAAATAAATAAGCAAACCACCAAAATCAGAGTATGCACTGAGGATATTCTACAGGGAAACATCAGAGAAAACAAAGCCAGAAAAACCTCTACCGAAGACACCACCTGTGTTGACTCTGCACTTGGGCTGGGGTTGGATCCCCATGGGGCTGCTTTTGGACCACCAGTGTTTACCCAGGAATTGGAGCGGTCTAAACCCTGGGCATGTAATAGAAAGCAGGTGGGAAAGGAAAGAAATATTACATGTTGCATGCCATACAATAGTCAAATCTTAGTCCTCAAAAGCAATCTAACAGGTGCACTGCAAACACATCGCCAATTACAACTGTTAAAGCTGCATTTGTTGAGAGGCTTACTTTTGTAACTCATCACACATGTACACCACATCAATATTCCAGTCCAATCTGTTCTATCTGTAATGCTTGACATTCAAAAACTATCATCCTCCTGAAAAATCCCACTTCTATCAGTTGAAATCCACTTCAGTAGGTGGAGCCAGCCCAAATTTTTTATGTGACAGAAGCAAATTGGTGGTCGGATGTGAAAAACAAAGAATGCTCTCAGTTTTTCCTCAGATCTTTTTCGTAAGGTAGACTACTTGCTAGCCCACAGACTATAAGCTCTACAGATCCCATGGAAATGCTACGGAAACTCAAAGAGATCCAATTGTCAGCTCTCACAGGTTTTCATGGAAGAAAAATCCTGCACCATTGGTGGAGTAACCTGGGGAGAAACTTCCACATGGACTTTTGGCCATTTCCTCTGGGCACTGTGGCAAACAGAGAAAAGAGGACATACCTTTTCTGGAACCAATCTGCTCTGCCAAACAAAACATTTGAAAAATTACCTTGTTTTTTTGAAAAGATTTATCTCATTTGTACTTCAGTTTTAAGTCTCAGTGGATCATATGTGCAAAATTACTGCAGATCCCTCCTCTCCCTCCACTCTCTTCTCCTCTCAAGAAACTCAGAATGAAGAAAATGAAAAAATCAAACTCGTGTTTGTCATCCAGGCTGTTCCCATATCAGGAACACTCAGTGGGATGCAGTGGACATTGATGGGTCTCAGGATCCAGCTCTAATGGAGGCAGTTGTGCAATGCCACAGACATTCCCTATAAATGTCACACATCATTTTTGACCCTCACCTGAGAGAGCTTTTATCCCAGCTTCCATGCCAGCCCAGAGCTTTTTTCCAGTATGTGAGGCAAAGGTGCAGACTATTTCATCACAAAGATTATCAACTGCAAAGTCCATCACGCCTAAAAGTTTGTTTCTCTCATGAAGACAAATCTACCCAAGGATTGAGCCTGGGATTCAAATCATTAATACATCGAGCTATTCTCTATGCAAAGTATAGCCATGCTGTAATTTTGCTTAAGTTGTCCAATAAAAATATACTGAAGAGACAGAATGAGTGCTTTAATCTCAATTACTTTTTGGAAATAATAAATCAAACCTCTCCGTCCTGCGTAGATTCATACAAATGTTTTACTTTGCTCACAATGAGTTCATATCAAAGGACTTTGCAGAATGCTGAACTGAGTTCACCTTTTGTAAAGCAAGGTTTAATTCTGAAAATGCCTTTCTCCCACTCCCTTTTTCATTCCTATGCTTTCTAATCACAGCCCTCTGTACATGTCTAGCCTCAGAACCAATGTTGGCAGAAGCAGATTTTGTAAAAATCTGAAGAGATTCCTTCATTTCATACTTCTCTGGAAGATAACAGAGTGCAAGAGCTTCTCTGGCTTGGTAAGTCACTTCCAAGTGCACAAAACTCTTGTTAAATCCTGTCCTGTTTCTGGGTTCAACCTGCAGCTGGGCACAGAATGCACATCTGTGAACATCCATCATCAGAGCCATGACACTCAGAATGTTCTCTTTCTTCCCAGCACATCCCCAACATTTCAGGAATACTTTAAGCATAAAAATCTCAACATACTCTTTTTAGACAGTTAATAAATCCTCTTCAGTAGGGAATAAAATTTACATGGCTTCAGTTCACAAATGAAGGCAAAATAAGTGACAAGACCTAAACCCTCCTCTATTATGCAAAACCACAGAAATCTTCTAAATCCTTTAAAGGGGATGACTGCTTGAATGCTCAGAATTAAGCACAATGCTGATGTAAGTAAGACCCAAAGCAACTTTACCAAAACTATCAAACACATTACAATAAGAAACAACAGAAGACTGAGCTCTAAAGAATTCCACCACACATTATTTTTTCTTTTTAAAAGCAGAAAGACTCCAGATAGATTCAATGTGAAATATAAGTTCCTTGTTTGGGTATATATATGCTTAAATTTTTGCTTGGAGAAAGAGAACAGAAATTTATGCATCCCTGTACTCCTTTCAGCATCTCAGGAAGTATTTGTGTTTCTAGTGACATTAAGAAACAGAAACAATTACATTAAACCAACATTCTGTATAGTCAGACCAAGCTTAATTTCTGATATTATCTGGCTAATATGAAAAAAAAAAATTCCCCATCAGCAATTATGGATATATTTGCATATTTAAAGCCTGGAGTATCTCTAGAACAAAATTTCTCTTCATTTTGTACTGTGACATTATTCACTATGCCAGCACATGTAAAGCTTCTGATACCCTGTGTGAATTCCATGTGCACATCACTGCCTATGGCATTTCACAAAAGGTCACAGTTGATAAATTAGCAAGATATTGAGGTGGTCTTTAAAAGATTTTAAGCCTTTGAAGTCCAAACTTTGATGAAACAAATAACTATTTGCCTATCCATGTTACTTCAGCATCTTATTTGCTCAGAAAAGCAAGTCACTGTTAATTTCTCAAAGATAAATTTCTTTCTCAAAGAGGTTTCCCTTATACAACCCAGGACTGTGTCAAGCTTGTCTGGTGGGGCTGATGGCTGCTATTTTGCCAGAAGGATCAAATCAAAAGATCAGACTCATCTGTGCTGGAAGGGACACAGGTGGGGAAAGTGTCTCATCTCGGTGCAAGTTGTCTCAGTTCAAACACTAAAAAAGAGCCCAAACTGAACTAAGGCACTCCTCTCAGGTAACAGATCTACCAACACAGGTTTGTCCTGCCTCATGTCACCTATTTTATACCTACAAAGTATCGGTAGCAGCTCTACATACTCGGAACTCACAAGAGTGGGACAAGAAGGTGATTCATACCTTGTGTGGCATAAATCATCTGCTGAGAAGCTTTTTTTCTCTATACTGATTACACAGAAAGCCCTGACAACCATGTTCCCAGAACAGACAACATAACTGAGGTTAAGAAAATCTACTCCAAAAACCATGCCATAAACATGCACACATACACCCAGAGCACCTAAGAGCTGGAGTAAGACCACACCAGATGCTTTGTACTAATCTGCCCCCACTCCTTGAAAAGCCACTTTCAGCAAGTTACAAAGGCCATAGAATCATAATAGAATCCTAGAATGGCTTGGATTGAAAAGGACCACAAAGATCATTTCATTTCAATCCCCCTACTACGTGCAGGGTCACCAACCAGCAGCCCAGGCTGCCCAGAGCCACATCCAGCCTGGCCTTGAATGCCTGCAGGGATGGGGCATCCACAGCCTCCTTGGGCAACCTGTGCCAGTGCCTCACCACCCTCTGGCTGAAAAACTTCCTCCTCATATCCAACCTAACCCTCCCCTGTCTCAGTTTAAAACCATTCCCCCTTGTCCTATCACCATCCACCCTCGTAAACAGCTGTTCCCCCTCCTGTTTATACGCTCCCTTCAAGTACTAGAAGGCCACAATGAGGTCTGCCCACCATAAAGGTGGCGAGTCACTGTGGATGCTGAGTGGGTACATCAAAAATTCATACTGCAGCTAGACTGCAGCTCAGTTGCTAACCAAGTGAAATCTTTCTGGCCATGGAATATGTCTGCTGCGTGCAAGGTACTTGCTTTGGACATAAGTAACACAGAGAGCATTTGAGCAGCTGTTAGTGCTGAACACAGAGGAGAAGAGAGAGTTTTGGTTTGGGAGGTAACACTGGGATCAAAGGGTGGCAAAGTAGGGGATGCAAGGTTTGGGGAGACATAACAGCTAGTCAGAGGATACAGCTGCTGGCCATGTGAGTAGTGAGAAGAAAGCTGTCCTTGTCTTACTGGTCTTGGGGAGGCAAGTCCAGAAGGACTCCGGCCCCAGCCATCATACCCATGCAAGTAATACTGGCAGGATGGTCTCCAATAAATCAGAGACAAAAGTAGCAATTTTCAGGAGTATCAGGCATGTTTTCCATAACCACCAGAATAAGCCTGAGATGGGGCTGCTAGTGAGGACAACTTTTGATAGGAAATAAAACACGAGAACTTCCCCATCATTACTTTAGATATGAAATAAAAGACACTGCCATCCCCGAGCCCCTTGGCTGTGCATTTGTACCTTACTGCCAATGATCGAGCGAACTTCATCATCAGGTGAGGTGGGGGTCCCAGATATATCTGGGTTGCTGTTGCTGAGGCTCCGTGAGCGGTTCAGGTTAAGGCTTGCTGGTCGGACAGCAGATCGAGCCATGGTGGCATAATGCACTGATCCCCCTAAGCCACCGGGACCTACAGTGCCATACAAAGAACATCTTGTTGCACCTCCAGCCAAAGCCTCCATCTCGCCCTGCTTTACACCTTTTTACTACAAAACCTTTGCATAATCAGTAGCTCTGGTCCATAAGGAAATCTCCCGTGCTTCCCCTGCTTGGTGCTCCAAGGTTAGCAGCTGGGAGATGGGATCAACATGCTGTTTTATTCTGTGATCTGTGGGAAGCAGGAAGCTCTCTGTGGCTTCAGGCAGCCAGCATGAGGTCTGCCTTTAGCCAGATCACAGACTGGAAACAGTAAAGCACTGAATTCTGAAGTATAGTTCTAAGCACACAACTTTTCCAGTCTCCTCAGAGGCCTCCCATTCCATGCAAGAAGCAAGTGCAGTGAACAACAGGCCTTCCAAAGCCTGGTTTTCTGTATCTCCATTCCAGTAGATGCCTTTCTTGTTCTCAGCAGAGGTAGAATCAATGTGATTCCCTCCTGTACACATCTGTATTTAAGTATTTCAGACTCCTCTGCCAGCGCATCAACTTCTGCTGGAACTGAATAAAAGTCCTAAAGTACTAATGAAAGAGTCTGGGAAGCAGGATAGGCCACAGGGTATCCCATCCATTTGTCACAAAACAAAGTAAATAGAACAGTATTTTGTCATAATTTGACCTCAAGTTCTTTCAGTAATGGCACTTTCAGACCACTGAATAGTTAAATCCTTGACATGGCTCTAACTGTAATTAAACTCATCATCTAAATGGCAACACTGCGTCGCAGAGAAAGTTAATAACAGGACTTGGCAGGGAACCAGTCATGCAATTGGAGCTCAGAGCATCTGCCAGTAAGCACTTTCTGCTTGCTTTTAACAAACTGTGACTTGAAATAAAGTGAAAAAAAGAGTTACCTGGTGATGGCGAGTTGGGATAGGTATTTGGTAGGCGAAAAACATAGTAAATATAGGAAGCAAGAAGGCTGTTTCTGCCGTGCTGGTCCTGGTTTCCATCCAAGTTCTTGTGAAGTCTGTTTATGATTGAAGCCATTGCTTCAAAAGATGCTTGGCCCAGGTTTACTGAAAAAAAAAAGAAAAAAAAGTTGTTTTAGATTTCAGCAATCCCCACAAACAAATTCTGAATATGCATTTCATCCACCTTCTAAAGGATAAATGGTGAAGCTTGTTAGAGTACAGCAAGCATTTCTCAAGAAAAACTGAAGCTGGTATTTAAAGTAGGTCTACTTGACAAGAAGGCAGATGCTGCAGTGTTGCAGTTCCTCTCACTTTAATAACACTTGATTAATTTAGGTTTGATTTCTGGAATCAGACCAACTTTGGCCCCCCAGTTTGCAATGGTAACAATGTCCTGGTTTACCTGATGCCCTCTGGATATTTGTCATACATTTCTCAGTTAACTCTTGGCTCCATTTAAGTATCAGTCAAAATACAAAGTGAAAAAGAGCAATTCCGTTCTGTTTTCAAGTAACATTCTGTTCAAAAAACTGAGCATAGAAATCCACACATGGACCTGGCTAGATATTTTAAACAAATGAGGATGAAGCAGACTGCAGCTGGAAACAGTAAATCTAACGTAAGTTGGTTTACAAAGTCCCCCATGTCAGTACATCTCCCTTTCCTCTCTGCAGTCAGCACCTCCCTGTATATTGGTGTGTTCAGAAAACACATCAGCAACTTCCTCACCAGTGTTTGAATTGCAGGCTTCCTTTCTGAGAAGTTTAATTAAATGCTCAGTTAGGCCATTTAGGCAAACCCCTAACAAGGAGCAAAAGAAGGGATTATTCATGCTGACAACATCAGACCAGAACAGCTACAGCATCTACGTCTTCTTAATTTACCTACTTCAAAGTTCTCCAAGGCGACTAGTGAGACTGAAAGTCTTAGCTTCTGAATGTCAGTATGGAGACACATTAACAGGCTCCAATGCTAAGAAAGCACTGGGCATCCAACTTTGAAAGTCAGGCTCCTTTCTGGTGTCTCAACTTGGACACCAAATTACCACCCATTTTTGAAAACCTTTCCACTGAATGTTGCTCCTGTGTATATCATCACTGGTCTGGATGCCAGAATGTTTTACTTTGAAGATGCATGGTATATCAGTGGCACTAAAGTAAAGTATAAAAATGGACTTATTTATTTCTACATAAATACGATAACATTGGAAGTGTCAAATTCTCAGCTATGTAATTCTCTATAAAACTTAAATAGAATACCTATTTGGCCTGCAATGACAGGAGGTCTTACTACCAGAAGAATCAGTTTGTCAAGCAGGAGATGAAGAAATCGCACTACCGGCTCCAGTTGAGAGGAATTTAAAGCTGAAATGCTGCTCTTCAGTTCATTTTCCAAGTTGTTTTCCATAATTCTCATGTCTCCTATTCGCACAGGGAACATGTGCTCGTCCAGAGCATGGACAAGTGCAAAGAACTTGTCAAGATAAGGGTCCTACACACAAGCACAGAACAGAAATCAGCAAGAAGCTCCCAAATGAACACCGCTCTCTGTGGACTTGTCCCCATTGATAGATTCTCTCTTTCCCCTCTTCTATCTGGACATTTAATTCCACAAAATTACCAGAAACTCAACACTTGTGAGAGCTCTGCCTATATGTCTAACTCAGCTTAAATCAGCCAGTTCAGAAAGCGTTCAGGCAAAAGTAGAGAACTCACAGACTGTGTTCTTTAGAGAAACAGACAGAAATGCACTGAAGTCATGGTACTATTGACAGCACAAACAAAATACATCAAAAAACCATCAAAAAGACACACAAGGAATTAATGAACTAAAAGTTGAAACAATGAGTTCAAAACGATTGCCATCTCTCATTGTGGATCAAAGACAGACAAAAAATACACATGGAAACAAAAGTGACAGGGAAGAAAAGGAAAAACAAGAAAACATCATATGCTTGGACAGCATGTTAGATCTGTTGTATTTAAAACAACAGTCAAAGGTCTGAAAACATTGTTGGCCATTCAACCCCTGTGAATAAAGGCCAAACCATTCATGTTTTTAAGCAGAACTTCTCAGATATACTCACAGCAGAACGTGGAATAACAGGTCTGCTGGCTCAGAACTGAAAATGAGATTGTAATTTCACTGCTGTAATTGCTGTACTCTTCATTACAAACTCTTTGACAGTGTTTCAACTGCCAACAGATTATCAAGATTTTTTTATTAAAACGACAGATCTTAACGCTTACCTGAGTATGGAGGGATGAGACAGCAACAACTTCTACATTGAAAACTCCTTTGTGATTATCCACCCACTTCATCCCAGGAAGTGGAACCTACAGGTGAGCAGAAGGATGAATGGAGATGTGACAGAAAGAAAAGCTACAGTACTTCTCATTACAATTGCCATTTCATTTTACTGTCAGACCATACACGCGGTTTTAAACTGAGACAGGGGAGGTTTAGGTTGGATATGAGGAGGAAGTTTTTCCCCCAGAGGGTGGTGAGGCACTGGCACAGGCTGCCCAAGGAGGCTGTGGATGCCCCATCCCTGCAGGCATTCAAGGCCAGGCTGGATGTGGCTCTGGGCAGCCTGGGCTGCTGGTTGGCGACCTGCACACAGCAGGGGGTTGGAACTGATGAGCGTTGTGCTCCTTTGCAACCCAGGCCATTCTAGGATTCTGTGCACAAACACACACACAACTATACTTAGCATTTAGGAAATACAGATGCATGCACACACAAGCTTATAAGTGCACATATGTGCACATATACTTCTCACTTTTTTTTTTTTTTAAAAAAAAAAAAAAAAAAGCATTCTCCTGCTGATTTTCAATGTGAGAAACGACTCACCTCTGGAGAAAGCACTGAATATGCCTGTGGTGGTTTTTCCAGTGAGACAGGGAGACAGAACTGACCAGTCTTTAACCGTCCATTTTGAAGCATCGGAATCCACTTTAAGTAATTGAAGAACAAGAAGAAATGAAAATACAAACTTCTTAAGGCTTTACTGAAATCCACAAGCTTGACTGTCTCAAACTCTACAATGGTATACACTGACAGTTATGACTAAAAAAATTGCAAATAAATGCATTATCCATCTACAGAATATTATCCTGTGCTGAAAAAGAGATTGAAAGACACTCACGGTGTATCCAACTGGAGTCTCCAGGGGAGTGTTTTGTTTTTGTTGGCAGCTGACATGGTAGAAAGTAAAAAGCAGATGGTGGTGATCGGTTAAAGTGGCTGGAAGCTTAATCTTGATTTCCTCATGAAAATCAGGTGACCTGTGCAGAAACCAGACCCTTTGTTTAGTCATCAATATAAGCAGTGTGGTTTTCTATCTTGTGCTGCAGATCTTTTGAGTTAAACTATCTGGAGGGAAGGAGTTATAAGGAATACTCTAAGGAATTCAAAGCTTTACCTTCTAATCATCAAGGACTGGAAAAACTTCCATAGTTTATTTCCAGTCTACAAAAATAATACAAGCAGCATCCTGGTGGGCTGCAGTGCAGCCCCTCCTCACACTGGCATTCTGAATTGTACCTCTCCCCATGAGGCAATGAACTTTTCCCTGATGCCACAATACCCAACCTGAAGGACAAGATTTTCTCTCCAGAACAGCCACAGAGACAGACAGTATGTTAAGGTCAGATTCAGCACTCCTTACCTGAGCTGCTCTGACATAATTTTCAAGACCAAGTATTTCTAATCTGTAACTACATCCTAGAAAGCTCTAAATACCTAATTACTCAACACAATAGCAAAGTATTTGCTAACGAGTGTTTATATCGTACATTTTCAGGTCTAACTTGAAGCTTATCCTTAGAGCATCTGCTGAGTTGGGCTAAATGCTCAAGATCACTGCCTGACACAATGCTCTTGACACGTATCAGAGCAAACAAAGACTCCAGCTCCCACTCATTGCATCACGCTAGCTACAACACTACCTACAGTGTCAGGTGATGGAAGTGCTATGCAGACAGTCTTTGATAAGTCAATGTCAATGAGGAAGATTCACTGGTGAACTCCACAACTGTTTCACTGGTAAACAGAACAATACCATCCTTAGGGACCCATCTCCATTTACAAACTGTCATAGATTTTACCTGTTGTGATATACTACAGCAGTGTATGCTTCTTTGGAAAATTCAGGACAGCTAGATTTGCCAAAGATGACCTGTAAAAAAAAAGAAAAAATAGCATACAGAGAGGTGCCACGAGTCTGTTCCTTAATCCCATTCACAGCTCTATTCCATGAAGCTGTGTACAACACCAACATGTTACATACTCCTTTGCTTCTATGCTTCTATTCTACTCAGTCACTGAAGATTTACAATTTTAATAGTCCTGCTCACACATGCACACAGATAGAGCTAAGGAACTGATGATGCATGTAACCATCCCCAGACAGAGCCAACAAAGATAAGGATGACTGAGAATTCAGAAGTCCCACTGCAAACATCTAAGGTCAAAATACCAAGTGCTATATTGTTACTTTGCATACCCAATACAAACACCCCCTGGGTTCAAAAACACTGTGACTCTATGCTTCCTGGAATTTATTTGGAAGTGTATTCCATTGAGTTTTCTTTAACACAGAGATTTTATGGCTGCAATGTGTATCCTGCCTTGCTGGCACGAAGCATTCACGTTGAGCACCAAGCACTCCCCTCACCGGCATAGCATTGCTTGGGTCCTCTCCATACATGAATTGGACTTTCACAGTGATATTCCTGGCAGATCCTTGGCGGTTGGCAAAGTTAAGGCTCTGAGGATAGACATAAAGAAGATTCCTGCAAGACACAAAAGCATTTCTGCGTGAGAAGGACGGGGTTCACACTGTTGTTAATGCTGTTACTTCAAACCCCAAAGAAAACAGAGAGACAAAGTGAAGTGTTTGACATCTTCCATTAGTCAGGTGGTCTTCTCCTGATCAGAAACGCACACTCACACAAGTGACCTGATGACGACCTCTCCTTTCAGGAGGCAAAAGTCACTTCTTTAAGCTGTCGTGATATTTTGAAATAGTTCCTGTTTATAAAGATGCTTGAAAAATACATCAAAAATTGTTATTTGGCAAATTCAAGTGGAAAGAAGACATCTCAATAGGGTGGCTGGCCTTTGTTAAATAGTTGACTTGTTTTGACCTTTCAATTTTTACTTCAAATCTCCCTTTATCAAGATGACTTCAGGTGTAACACCTCTCCTCCAACAACAGATTGGATTAAATGAACATCTGCATCTTCAGCAGACACGCAGTCTTTGCAGTGACTCAGATGGGATGGCGTCTTCAATTCCACACCTGAGTACCACACTCTGGGAAGGACAGGGATCAGATAAAACAGATGGCTAAGAAGTGAGAACACTCAGTAGCCCTGGAAGCACCTGAGGTGACCAGATAAATCATCATAGAATGGCAAAGATTAGACATTAAACAATCTAGTTCCAACCCCCCTGCCACAAACAGTGTTGGCATCCACTAGAGCAGGCTGCAGAGGGTCCCATCCAATTTTGTTCTGAAGTTTCCAACTCCAGTTGCTCCCCGATACTCGTGAGTAATCTCATCTGCACTGACACCAGCTAACACTGGTCCTAAGGAGTGCTCCAAAAGCCTCAGAAGATACTTCCCTGAGGTCAGCATCTGCACAGGGCAGTCCGGATGCACAGCTCCAGAAGGCTCTGTGGGGCTGCATTATGGAGACCGACTTCTTTCCACCCTTCCAGGCAGAGAAATATGCTTAGCTGGCACATGGGAAATTTCTTCCTTTTCAAGTCCTTCATGCTGAATTAATTTTTTGAATCCCATCCCCATTGTCGCTTTGCCTAATCAACGCTCTCCTACTATTTCAGAGAGGGCCTTTGCCATTTTTGTGACTCTACTAAATTACTTTGTTCTGGCATGAATACATTTGCTCCTTGATGTTCTTTTTCAAATGAAAATGGATATGAAAATTTACTCTAAAATGTACATTGCTCATAAAACTTTTATTAAGTATTATTAGTGCTCTAAGAGAAGGATTTAATGTATTTGGGAAGCCTGGCTGCAGGATCCCTATATTAAAGGCAGTTCTTAAGTGTGAGACTGATTTATGAATAGCAGAGCTGAGCCTGAACCAAGCCTCCAGTTCTCCTATCACCTCTTCTGCTTTGGCTTGGGAGCAAAGACGACATTTCAGCAAATTGATGTCACTCTAGAAAGAAGGTGGAAAGCTATAAGCAGACACCAGACCTGACATTACATCCCAGCCACAGCTTCAGCTGACTTCTCAGTTTCACCTGCGTTACCCTCTTTCCTTCAAGTTATTGCACTGTAAATCCCCACCCCACTATCTGTATGCACAAATACCAAAGCTCAGTAGACTCTGGAGTACACTGGAGGTACAACCACCATCCTCTGTGATGGGAAAGGATCTGCCATGGAAATAACACCACAGTGCCAACAAACACTGATAAAATACAAGCAGCACTAGTCCTCATGCTTTCAAGCAACAGCTACTTCCTGCTATTATTTGCAGATTTCTATCACTAAAGATTTTGGCCAGAAGCTTTAAACTCAAGGATTTGCATCTGGAGCACTTATTATAATGCAAAACATATGCAACGCTTACATTATTTTCTCAAACAGATCTCAAAAGTACTTCTACCTCTGTAAAATAAATGGCCAAAGCACAAAAGGCCAGGCCTTGGAAATAAACATAAAGACTTGACCTTAAATCTTAAAAGAGATGTCTAAACATTATTAAAATTCCCCTTTCTAGTAAATCCCAGAGGCCTTTTTCTCTGCTTTATTCCCACTATCAAAACCATGCAAAGCCTACTTAAAGAAGGTCACCCAGGTGTATGAAAGATCCTTAGGACCATGTCTATTAAATACATCTTTTGTTGGTTAGGCCAACAGAGACAAGATTCACCCGTAGGGTTTCTACAGCTCCTAAATCTTGCAGTTTCATCGTGCCAGAGGGTTTTTCTTCTCTGTGCCTTCCTACGCCCTACTTTGCTTATGGACTCTGTGACTGTCAAGATATCTAAGAACTGGAGGGTGACATTTCCAAGCACACTTATCACTGCTTGATTTTATTGGCACTGGCATTAATAGGGAGAGTTCTGCAGCTGCATGTGCTCGGCAGCCACTTGTGATGTTGTGACATTTGACATCAGAGCATTCTGACTGCCTTTCTCATTCATGAAACGGCAGTGTCACGTCTGAGCAGCACTCAGGCACAAGTGAGCTCCCATTTTGTGCTCAGCTACTATGCAGCAGGACATGTAGGGAACCTGCTAACATTCCTGACCCCAACTGCTTGGTTACTTGTGTAATTTTTCTGAAGATTAAGCCAAGAATAAAGATTTTAGGAACAACAGGGGCAACATAAATCAGAACTGAGAAAACCTTCTTGACAGTAAGAAATAGCTAAGACAGAAGAAAATGTTTCCTCTGAAATCTTGTAAAACCAAAGCCATCCCAAGTATTCTGATGTGGACTGCAGGAAGTATTTATTTAAAAAAAATATTTTACAACCAATTCTTCAAGTTTTGCAGCCCCAAATTCCTGTGTCAGATACCAGAGACTGGACTTTGCTCCCTATCACAGAGCAGCGCCAGGCCCAGATAAAGACTTTGTCACTTGTGTAGAGGAAGTTTAGCTAATCTGATGATTTTCCCTACAGAAAACACGTACACATTGAAAGCACACTTTTTATCTTCCTTTTTCAGACCTGAAGTGTCTAAGTGGGGTTACCACTCACAATGTATCTCAGTCAAAGCTAAAGTATCAAACCTTTCATAGTTCAAACTGTTAAGGTGCCCAAGAGCTTCCCACACAGGCACAAGACAGGACCAATTCCTAGGATATTGGATCCTGCACATCCTTGGATTTTTTGAATAGCTCTTCATGCATTTCCACTGGTATTAACAGATGAGAAAATGCTGCAGAAATGATGACTCACTGCAACCCTTACAGGCTTATCAACTTCCAATGAATTACTCTAATTGTTCTGACTATTTTCCTAACAGATTTTCATTAGGGCTGGGTAAATACTAATTTGATGCGTTCCTTTAATGACAGCCCATAACCAAACTCCCTGTTGCTCGCAGCCTTCCAGACTCCAATGAGCAATTAAGTAACTGCCCTCCACCATGCCTTACATCTGCCAACTGTGAGCAGATGCAGCCCCGTCTCACCCAGCTGGGCTCAGTTCTTGCTTTGCATGGGTCATCAATGAGCATTTAATTGGTAAAAACCTCTTTCCATACCCTTCAAGTGCACCTTTCTAACCTGACTTACGTAAGCTGCGTGGAATCGAGCAGAACTAGGAGAACCATGGGGTATCTCCATATTGGCCTGCACCTATCACAGCTCTTTCCAGTTTGTCAGCCTGTCTCAAAAGGCAGAAGGATTGTATAGCTGCAATATCTGAAGGGCCAGAAGTACCTGTTACCAATACACTGCAATTCAAACAAAGCAAAGGCTATCTGAATCCTTGGCAGAATGCATAGCAGAGCTCAGGGCTGTCCTTGCCCTCCTGCTCCCCAACTCTTTGCACAGCACAGCCAGAGTTAAGTCCTTCAAGACAGTCTGTTGCAGCAGGACACCTTCCAGGACTGGAAATTACTGGACTATTCTTCACAAGACAGCACTGCACGTTTGGGTTGTGAAAATGCAGTGCTGCTTCCCATTACAAAACTCTGATTATTGACTGTATTTAGGAACAATTCCCACATTTGCTCCCAATCTATGCCTACAAATCCCTTTGAATAAGTCCCCATTCTCTCCAGTGTCAAGACTGCTGCTTTTGTATGCATTGTGCAGATACTCCAATAAGTCTGATTCAAGTCATACTGGTGCAAACAATTCACCAACTAATCAGAGACACTTTCATGTTATTTAATTATTAGGGAGGAAGGAGCAGGTTAACTGCACGTTATCAGCCCTTCATCAGACACTAAGTCCAGGCCAAGTTGAGCAATGACCTAAAAACCCTTCAAAGTAGAGACTATATTATGCATGGACTGATTTCTTGGATTGCTATGAGAAAGAAAAATACCTTTCATTCATACTGCAATACTCCCTGAAAAACAAACACTTCCATGCAGAGACCCAGTGCAGAGCTGGACATTTATTTCAAAGCACCCGCAGACTTGCTTGGTTCACTGAGAATCTTAAAAAGCAAAGGGAATTGTAAGGTGAGAAATGAAAGCAGGACATTATTTATCTCACCCACCTCTGGAAAGCAGCTCTTAAAAAATAAGCTTTATATGGTGTAAATTACTGCACAAACCTTAAGATAGTAGAATCACATCCAGACAATCTCTGGACCTAATTCCCACTTTCTCACTTAATCTGAACTAGCTGACAAGCAAATCCACTGCAGCACGATGAGTTACATCAGAAAATGGTACAAGATGAAAATCAGATTGTGTGAATCATCGGAGAGTATTTTGCCCTTCCCCAGCTTATCTAAAAGCTGCATAACCTGAAGTGCAGCGTCCAGTGCTCCTAAGCAGGGCAAATCCTTCTACATTCCTAAGGGAATAAGAGAAATCATACAACACAAGAAGCAATTTGGGCTCTTTAGTGAGATTACGTCTCACAATCAATCCATTAACGAGTGCTGTGTCAGAAACGCATCCTACATCATCAATAACATTTTAAAACACTGTCTGGCAAATGGAAAAGTTCAGAGCCAGTTTTATCAGCAACGTGCCTGCCTCTCAGGTTTACCTTCCCAGGCATCAACCCAGATTCGAGTGGGGTTACAATTGTTCAAATTTGTTCAGTTTAATGATCAACTTC